TATCTTGGCAACTATTAAATCCTGAAAACAGCGATAACTGATGAAAACTCTGCCTCATAATAACAAAAATTTGTATCATGTGTTTTGTTGTAAAACAGTTAATCAGTTCTTCATTGTAGTTTATTCAGAAGGTTTAAAAAAAACTTGAAAACCCATACATCATTTAAGACTGAGAGACTTTTTGTTTATGCCAGGTGTGTTCTGGGTAACACCACCATCTTGGCGGAGTTTGTGAGCGAGGAAGATGTGGCTCGCTACATTGCACATTCCCAGGCTGGAGGAGCAGGAAGCGGAGGATCCACAGCCGGCTCTGCAGGCTCCGGGCCTACAGCATCCTCCGCGGTGGGGGCTAACAGTAACGGAGGAAACTGTGAGAGAGGTGGAGCAGGAGGGAGCAGCGGGGGAGGAGGAGTAGATGGAGGATCCACAGCTGGAGGAGCAGGAAGTGGAGGAGCTGGGCCTTCCAGCTCCGGGTGGCAGAGTCTGGACAGCACAGGCAGCTCATCGGACCAGTCCGCCACCCAGGGGCCCGGGCTGGGCATCTTCAGCCAGTGGAGCAGCAATGGGACCGGGGTGGGTGGGGCTGGAGGCGTGGAAGCCGGAAGGCAGGGCCTGTGGGGGGGAATGGGTGGGATGAGCGGGGCGGGGTACCCCAGCAGTAGCCTCTGGGGTTCCCCAGCACTGGACGATCGTCACCAGATGGGCAGCCCCGCCTCACTGCTGCCAGGGGACCTGCTGGGCGGGGGGGCCGACTCCATCTAAGGGTCCGACTGACACACACTCACACACACACACATTTTACACCCAAGCTGTAATACATATGTCACACTCTGTACTTATTTACATGCACAGATGACATGAATCAAAGCTACACTGGTCACCCAACATGCAGAAACCCAACATTCATACTACATACACACACAGGCTACATTCAGTACATGCACATCATTTTCACACATACACATTAAATCGCTTAACTTTAAATGAAGACAACAGTAAAACTTGAACCGGGGAAAAAGGTGAAATCCATTATTCAACTGGATAGCTCTTTGTCTTTTTACTCAAAACCCCACCATCTGCATTCAGAGACCCAATCACTCAGGCATGCACTGTAGACAGGCTCAGCCAGAGTCATACATGTCAACAAGTTTAGCTATTGCTGTTTTTAGTGTGCCACATTTTTTTTTTCTTTTGTATTACTATTTAATGGTCGAATCTCAAAGTTCAGACTTGCAGACTGAGCCCTCGTAGACCTAGCAGGCGTACTTCTAAGTTCTCATGTTTGGAAGCTTGAGAGTGGGGAAGGATCTGGAGTTTGTAGAAAATTTGGGACAGCGCCACACTACTGAGTCAAATGGACGATCAGCAACCTTTATGATCTGGAAAAGGAGTGTTTTTAGTAGGTACCGACACCTCTACCTTGGTGGAAATACGCCATCAACATGGGACCCAGGGTAAAAAAAAAAAAAAAAAAAAAAAAAAAAAAATCAAAACAAAAACAACATTAGCCAAACTTGCACTATATGCCTTTGGGTTTGTTGTTGACACATCCTCCACAAATCCCTCCATTTTTGAAACAGAGCTACAACACAACTACACAGACCTTACTGGACGACTCAATGTTACAACAGCAGTGGCCTTGGCTAACACCCAGCGGCCGCCCGCCCGCCATGTCAGCAGCATCACACCTTCTCATCAGTTACACACTGCTCTTATATTTGACAAGCAAAATTGTATCTCCTTGTTGATGTACGTCGGTTGTTTATCATTATTTTTTCTGTTTTAAAAGAAAAGAGAAATGGTGTGCAAACTCTCTTGTGGGAAATCCAGAGATGTCTTTTTTTTTTTTTTTTTTTTTTTGTTTGCCCTTCAAACACTGACCTCGCTATTGTATTTTTTCTTACTCGAGAAATCAAGTTGGTTATTATATATTGTCATGATGTTAATGATGACTAAGATCACTTATTTACTCGCTGTACAAGGTGCCCTCCTGCCTGCCTGTGTGTGCATGAAAGGAGTGTTGACGGTATGACCGAATGGAGGAGGATGTGATGAAGATGATGATGATGATGATGATGATGATGATGATGATGGGGAGTGTCTGTGTTATTGCTACAATGTTGAATGTTTTTTTTTTCTTTCTTTCTTGTCCATGAGATTCATGAGAAATGTTTGTGTGAGTGTGAGTGTGAGTGAGTGTGCGCGTGCGTGTGAGTGTGTGTGTGAGTGTGTGTGTGTGCGCTTGCTTTTGAACACTTATCTGCTCCAGTCAGGAAAGTGACTAGATGTTAATCTGACAGCTTGCATTTGAGAGAAAGGGTGTGTGTGTGCATGTGTGGTTGTGTGTGTGAATGTATACACACGTTTGCGTGCTTGACTGACTGTTGTGATAGCTAAAAAGTTCAAAAACATTGGCACTATTGCATATGTCTCTTAAGTTGTGTTTTTTAGCAGCGTTTTGTTCCTGTTTGTATTTTTTTTTTCTTTTTTTTTTCTGTCAAATGCAATAAGAGAATATTTTGTTTTTAAGACGAAGCAACCAACTGAAGGCATTTCTGTTAAGATGCCAAATCCTACCATACCAAGCTGAGCTGGAACAGTGTTTTACAGACACGTTAAAGACATTACATATGTTTTACTGTTTGTTATTATGTATCAATTTAAATTAAGTCAGTCTTTATTATCACTCCTGTTCGGGATGTTTTCATTTATTTCAGATGTTACAAAAAGGAGAGGAAATTAATTTAAAGCGGAAAAGAACAAGATAATAAAGGTTGAATTGAAGTCTGTGGTGGTTTGTTGTTTGATCTGTCCGACTGAGGTGTTCACAGTTGACCTGTAGGGTGTCAGGTATTCATATCACATTTTCTTTGCTGTTTCAAATGCCAACCATCTCATGAATTCACATGTTATTCCTGTGCCATGGGACAGTGAAGTCAATAGGACTGTCTGACAATACAGCACTGGTCCATACATAGTGAATGGCACTGTGACTTGTTTCAGTAAAATGTATTTCTTGCACCTGAAAGAGAATCAGAATCTACCCCATAGTTAGCAGTGCTAGAAAAGTTCCTGTTGGTGTGAATGCTGCACTTATTCTGGAGCACCCCCTGGTTTTATATCCCATTCTGCTGTCTTGTTTTGATCAATTTTAACTTATTATTGTATTTTAGGATGAGTAAAAGAAGTAATTCTAACACCGAGAAGAATATCCAGAGCAGTCCTGGTGAGTTTACTTTCTTGGCCATAAAGCAAAAACATTAATGGCTAATTATTAATTTATTTTTAGTTATTTGACATCTATTTCTTCACCTTTTACTTATGACACAATCGACATCTTAGCGTCACGCTACAACACAAGGTGATGACAGACGCAGCTAGGCCAGCTAAAGTTGTATACTTTTAGTAGATGCTGGTGAAAACCTGGTTCTAACCAAACGTACAGAAACTGGTATTTATCCGCCATTGTTGTTCTTGTGTGAAGCGCATGCGCAAAAATGTATGTGACGTCATTGCTTACCAAACTTTTAACGGTCCGCAGGGATAAGAATAACCAGAGATTTTTTTTTTATGTCATTTTATTTTATTTTTTAAAAATCTTTTATAAACAGTCTATGGCTTAAGCCGGTAATAACTTTTATCAGACGTCTGAAGACTTCTGATTCGCCAACATGACTTTACGGTTAGGGATATATCGCCTGTACCTGTGGAGGAGGCCTCAGCTAGCCGTCTGTTTTTTCTGGCACAGCAGGAAACATTTTCATTACTTTTCCCTCTCAGTCGACATGTTAGGTAGGCTAACGTGTAGCTTTGCAAAAACTAATATATGCTCACAAACATGTCTGAGTGCAAAAAACTTTTAAGTCCAACAGACGTGAAATTAATTCGCCTAGCTGTTAGCCTTCTTTTATTCAAGCTAAGCTAATTTAAGCTCCATTTAGAGGCTCCATTGATAATTCTATGGGCGGCGCCGTGAAAGTATAATTTGCCACAAATCATTTAAAAAAAATTTTAAAACGAAATTATCTTTTAAAAACTCTTTATCGTTTTTTTTTCTCATATTAAGGCTTAGATATACGGAACTTTTATGTTGTTGCTGCTGGACCTCATCCTATACTTGTTTGCTATCTCAGTCTGATTGTGAGCAAATATTATTAAATCCATGGCCAAAACTGGAATATCAAAATGGATAGCTTGTTAGTGACAGGAAGAGTTAAAAGGAAAGAGAGTCAAGAGACAGATGGTGAATCAACCAATCATCTCTACCCTTGTCAGTAGTTTTTTATTATTATTATTATGGGGTTCTGGTTCATTGGTTATTGCTGTATACTGAATAATACCAAAAGTGCAGTTCCACTTCAAACATCCTGTGACCAGTTGTAAAAATTTTCAAAAAGTTGTGCAGTATAAAGTACGTTATTTGTCAGAACCACTAGATGGGGCAGTTTACTCTTTCCCTGTAGCCTATATATAAATCTATGAGCATTTTGCTTCTTATGTATGGACAGGTAGTACAGCACGCACATGACACCTGTCCATGCAACAATTATGAAATCTTTCTACACTGTACTTTTAGGATTAATTTGAGAAAGAGGTGTTGCTCCGGACACATGCAGCAGCTTTAAGTGAGCGGCTTGATTTCTGTATGCTTCATTCATGTCTGCAAAAACCAGCAGCAGATCGGCGGCTTTAAGACAATCCGGGCATCTCTGCAAGTCTGTGGATGACATCATTGATATTGTCAATGGTGTAAACTGAGAGAGGGCTGGGTGGGGGTGTGTAAGAGGGGGAGAGAGAGAGAGAGGAGAGCAGCCAGAGAAGAGAGAGAGAGAGAGAGAAGGACCTCAGTGTCTGGTTTCGGCGTTCCTCCAAAAAAAAAAAAAAAAAAATCCTGACAGTGAGAATCTTCCAGAGTCGCTCGGATCAGCTGTGTGTGTTTTTTTTTTTTTTTTGGGGGGGTCTTTTTTTTTCGGGAGCGGGAGTTCAGGTCACGGATCTCCGAGGTTATGAGCCGTCCGAAGCCGCGTCGGTGCGTCGCTGTCCAGGGTCCTGAGTGAGAGAGACAGAGCCGGGCGACCACGGAGCCTGACATAACCCGGTGAGGAGGAGGTGGGGTGGTGGTGGTGGTGGGGGGGGTGTATTTTGGCTTGTCAAGGTGTCTGGAGGCTTGTGCGTGTGTGATGGTGTGTGTAAGGCTTTATGTGTTAAACAAATACAGTCCACATAGAGTCGTGTTGGGGCGGGGGGCGGGGGGGCGGGGGGGGGGGGGGGTGCGCTTGTTCAGAGGTCCTATAAGGAGGGTGCGGTTATGGGAATTTTTGCCACATTTGATGGTCAGTGAGAGATGAACTGTGTGTTTTTGCATTCAGCACCTTCCCCTGTTTTTCTCCTGTGGTATCTGGGGCAACTGCATGAAGTATTCTCTCTGACAATATCAGGTCTCGCCTGTTTTTGCAGTCCTTTGCAGCTACAGTGGGTCTCAGTTTTATAACAGAGGCAGTATAGCATCTTTGGAGGCTGAGGGAGGAAATGAGCTGGAGAAACCTGATGTAAAGGCTTTGGTAATGTGCAGCAGTGGCTTGCTCTGCCTTATTTTCCCTGCACTGTGTATGTGGATGGGGTGTATGTAGGTCTATGATGCAGCCAAGACTTAAAAAAATGAACTTAGTCAGCATTAAGGGCAATGTCAAACTGGTTTGTAAGACATAATCTGTCGAAAAGCCTTCAGTCATTTCCCACTTTCAAGCCCTTATTTCATGGCTGTTCAGGCAGATGGAGCTTGGGTGAGGAGAACATGACTCATTTGAATTTTGTCAGGGGACTCCAGTCAGAAATTGGGAGTTTATGCAAATCGCTTGTATACAGGACCAGACTCCTTTGAAGTGCTTTGGGAAGAGTGTGTGAGATGCTGATCCAGTTGCCCCCCCACCCCCCACCCCCCTGCAGCTCTGAATAAATCATGTTATACAATTACATGCTCTGTTCTTCTTTGCTCTCACCTTCTCCCCATGCACTTTATAAACACTTCATTGGCCTACATTGTTGTCCTCCGAGATACCAGAATTTATTATCACACCCTCTGAAGGTGTAATGATTCTAACTCAACAAAACATGGCCGATAGGAACAGGGTTGTTGCATTAGATCTTGTGTGCTGAGAAATGTTTTGCTTCCACTTTGCATTTAGTCACATCAAGTCACTTTATGGCTGGAAATGAGCAACATTTTCTTTCCTCATTCCAGTGAGTCAACTCAGACTGCACTATGTCACTGTTTTGGCTCAGTAATTTGCACTTTTCATTCTTTCTCATCTCTCCAGTCGATATTTCCCAAGCTACCAGTTTCATTTTCTTTCATGATACAGCAGCCCAAGGGCTCATAGCTTTGAGTCTAAAGTCTGCAGCTTTGCACCACAGTGTCCTTTTACTCTATTGATCACCAGTGATTGATGACAGCTTTGTGTGTGTTTGTATCTGTGCGTGCGTGCGTGTGTGTGTGTGTTTATCCCGTCAGTGAGTTGAAAAGCTCAGGAGCCATGGAGTTAAGGGTGGGGAACAAGTACCGCCTTGGGAGGAAGATAGGGAGTGGATCCTTCGGAGACATTTACCTCGGTGAGGTTTTTTTCTTCTTCTGTGATTACCAGATCTCACGCTTAAATTTCACAGGTGAAGAGACCCTGGTTGTGTCAGAAGCTGCTGATAAGCTGTAACTGCGTCCCTGCTGTTTCTCCCATCAGGCTCTAACATTGCTACAGGAGAGGAAGTAGCCATCAAACTGGAATGTGTGAAGACCAAACACCCACAGCTCCATATTGAGAGCAAGTTCTACAAGATGATGCAGGGTGGAGGTGAGATAAACCAAAAGACTTTTTCAGGGGTTTTGAAAGCTTTACTTGGCGGCACTGAGAAGCAGTGGAGAGTTTTAGGTGCATTAAAGGGTATTAAGGGCTGCCGATGGGTAGATAGAATTGTTGAGGGCTATTAACAAAGATTACAGTTGTTTCAGAGGCATCACAGTGCATTTTGAGACCTTGAAAGGCATTTCAGAACATTTAAGGGTATATGAGGTGCATTCAGGGTCATTCCAGGACACTGAGACACCTATTCAGCTGGAATTAAAGATATCAGTGGTCGTTCAGTAGCACGGAGGTGTAGTCATGGCTGTTGAAAGGTGTTGAGGAGTGTTTAAATGATGCATGTTAATGATGGAATGCAGTCTATCACTACTATGAAATATTTACAAAATAGAAATGGTAATTGATGCTATGATATAGCATATAAAATAATATAAAACTATAATAACAACAACACAGGAGTAATACAGCATTATGGTACAGCAATAAAAGTAATTTAAAGCAATGTAATATATAGTGGTAGCTATGTTACTACCACTACTAGGTAAATATTAATAATAAGATCATAATATATAACAGTAATATACGAGCAAAGACAAACAGCTAAAAGTAATGAATAGAAGTTTGAATTAAATATCCAAAATTAATGAAACAGTTGAACTAGTTATCTTAAAGTGATAGTCTTTAAGCTAACTTGAAATGAATGAATAAACAGCTGAAACAATTAAACAGCTAAATGTAATTGATAAATTGTTGAAATAGCTAAAGATACTGTAATTGTCAAATAAAGCAGTGAAAAAAAAAAAGTTCTGCGTCAGTAAAAGTTGGTGAATTATAAACTGCACAGGCTGGAATTTCTCTGCCCCGTGTTATGATGCACTGTTCTGTGTCCTAACTCTCTGATTGCCCCCTCCTCCCCTCCCAACAGTGGGAATCCCGTCTATTAAGTGGTGCGGAGCAGAAGGCGACTACAACGTTATGGTAATGGAGCTGCTGGGCCCCAGTCTGGAGGACCTGTTCAACTTCTGCTCCCGCAAGTTCAGTCTGAAAACAGTGCTGCTGCTGGCCGACCAGATGGTGAGACAGACTGACTGACTGCAGTCCACACTATAAAACATAACGGTCCATCAGGGTTTTTCCTGGGATCCTGAGCCAACAATTGCCACACCGTTTACTTACGTTAAGTAAAAACCTCAGGGTTCATTGAGTTTCTATAACGGGGCTCCTCAGGGCCCCAAGGCTGAGAAAAAATAGATGAACAGAATTGTAAATGATTGAAAGGTACAAATGAAATGATGCAGTCCCAAACGTATTTAAAAGGGCTACTGTTGCTTTGCACACATTGCTCTGAGGTCAACCTCAGGCTGTGAAGTTATAAAGATTTCAATAAAAGCATTTCTCTATTTTTAGACTACAACTAAATGGATCATTTGAAATCAGAGAATAATTCTCATCTAAACTGAAGCTTGTTTCCCGGCTCGAGACAAAGCTTATCCCCTCACTATCTCCAACCACTCAGCTGCTCCGTGAAAGTCAATTCAAATCTAGGACATGGTGGCTCCGCAAGGCGGACTAATCCTCTTCACATAGGTCAGATTGTTGTGTCTTTTATGGGCCTTTTTAATCTGTCATATGTCATTCTTTCGTCTACGACTGGCACATTAGTTCTTTTCATCCCATTTTCTCTTGGCCACTCTGACCTCTGTTCCTAATCGCTCTCTGCTGTCGTTGCAACATCTCCCCCTCCCCTCCCCTCCCCTCCCCTCCTCTCTGTACTGTACCATAACATAAAATGACCCCTATATATCTGCACACAGGCTGACAGGGTTATTGATCAGCACCACTGACTCAACTATTATTTCACTGGGCAATGAGAGTTGTGGCCTTTGAAGCTCACTTTCAGTTTTAGATCAAACACAGTGGGAATATAAAGACTCCCAGTGTTGCAGTCAAGACCAGTGAAGGTAACTGATTATCTGAAAGGGAGTAACTGTTTTTTAGATGCTAAAGCCAAAGTCCTCACTAATGTGAAAACCTGAAGAAAGACAGATTCTAATTTTTACATTGTCGAAACATAAGATCAGTCAGTTTTTCAATTTTATCTCTCACTGGGTGTTTTTTTTTTTTTTTTACTGCACTTTGAGGACCATAAATTACAACTGCATGTACCACACTATTGACTGAATACGACCCATTTCTAAAGCACACCACAACAGATGATTTTAGATGTAAAGGTTGCCATATAATATACTATGATATACTATTATATATACTATTTAATAATAACTCATTCCTAGGTTGCACATGTCGAGTCTTGGATATCAGAGCATCTACCTTACAGTTTAAAAACATTCTCTGATGGCAACATGCATAATTTCATATGAAATTTATGTAACTGTGACAAAAAGTAAAGGGACACACTCCACTTATTTTACACATGAAACTCAGTTTACTTCTCACATATTTAACAGAAGCCCTGTGTTAACAACTTGATGTGTAAGACAAGGGCCTTTACCAGACAGGGAGGGTCTAACAAAAGACTTTATTGAAACTTCATTCGGCGGCAGAAAAAAAACCTACAAATTGCCCCTTTAACATATACTCAGGTCAAGATATCGCACCCTTCAATTCTGACCATTTCTTTTATAAATCTGTGTGTTGTGAGTCCTCCATCTTTAGCAGAGTGCAGTGCTGAATTGCAGAAGGAATTGCCTCAAACGGCAAAGAAATGTTTGTCATGATTAATTTCATGGCTCAAGCCAAGTTCAAGTCTCTGTGAGTTGACTGTGACAGGATACTGACATGAAACGATGCAGGGGCTGCCTGGAAGGACTAAACCTAAAAGTTCACAGCATACTCTTATGAAATGGATTTTCTGTTAATGGGGTACAACATACAAGACCACCAGTACTCTCCTTTAATCCAACTAAATCCTCTTCCCTGTCTCTCGGCCGCAGATCAGTAGGATTGAATACATCCACTCCAAGAACTTCATCCACAGAGACGTAAAGCCCGATAACTTTCTGATGGGGCTCGGCAAGAAGGGCAACCTGGTCTACATCATCGACTTCGGCCTGGCCAAGAAATACCGTGACGCCCGAACGCACCAACACATCCCCTACCGTGAGAATAAGAACCTCACCGGCACCGCTCGCTATGCCTCCATCAACACCCATCTGGGCATCGGTAAGACAGCACACACAGAGGTTGGCCTAGATATACTGTGTAGGTGTGAATGTGTGTGTTCTACTAAACCTTTCATCTTCTAATTCTCTTTTTATGTCCTTCTCTCCCTTTTCTTCTTCTCCCCTTGCATAAATATATATATATATTTTTTTTTTTTGCCATTTCATTCTCTCCTCTCTCGCTGTTCTTTGTTTTTCCTCCACAGAGCAGTCGAGGCGAGATGATCTGGAGTCTCTGGGCTACGTTCTCATGTACTTCAACCTCGGCTCTCTGCCCTGGCAGGGGCTCAAGGCCGCTACCAAGAGGCAGAAGTATGAACGTATCAGTGAGAAAAAAATGTCCACTCCCATTGAGGTGCTCTGCAAGGGATACCCCTGTGAGTAAAGATGGGGTTTTGACAACAGCAATAAGATGCAAAACAGTTTAAAAAGGGTCTTTGCAGGGTCACATTTTGCTTAAAATCCACTTCTCTCTCTTTTCTGTGTTTCCCAGCTGAGTTCTCCACTTACCTGAACTTGTGTCGCTCCCTGAGGTTCGATGACAAGCCAGACTACTCTTACCTGAGGCAGCTCTTCAGGAACCTTTTCCACAGACAGGGCTTCTCCTACGACTACGTCTTTGACTGGAACATGCTGAAGTTTGTGAGTGTCATGCTTTTGCGGAATAATTCCGGCTTGGAGGTCAAAATATTTATGACTTATGTTTCTTGACTGTCCCTCTGTGTTTCAGGGGGCCAGCAGGACAGCAGAGGATGGAGAGAGGGAGAGGAGGGAGGGAAAAGAGGGGGAGGAGCGAGCAGGAGGAGGCCAAAGAGGAGCTGGAGGTCGAGCTCTTCCGCCTGGTCCAAACCCTTCAGCAGCCAACAGAGTCAGGAACGAGGCAGACGCTGCACCTTCCAATCCGGTCACACGTGGAGTCCAGCAGTCAGGTCAGCATGTTTGGAAGTAACTGTGAGATGCAACTGTAACAGCATTAAAGCTTTTATTTCAAGTGTGTGTCTTTACGTGTGTGTGTGTGTGTGTGTGTGTGTGTGCAGGTAACCGCTCTCCTCAGGTGGGGAGAGCCGAACGAGCCGAGCGAGAGAGGAAGGTGGCCATGAGGCTTCATCGCGGGGCCCCCGCCAACATCTCCTCCTCTGACCTCACTGCACGCCTTGACCAGTCACGCATCACTGCATCGCAGGTGGGAGGATTGTAACTCAACATGTTTTGTGAGCCTTTGTTTTTTTTTTTTAAAGAGAGTTGGCGCAAATTTTATTTTCACATTAGAACATGTCATTAAGAAATGCGTTCAGATCAGACTGTGGCACAAACACACCCTCATAAACACTGTGCTAGCAAACATTCCTCACCATCACCAGTTATGAGTTCAAATTACATGCTTTAGATTTAATGCTGCGTGCACCTAACGTTTAGAGAGACTGATGACACCTCATTGCTGACTGAAATATCTCAGTAACTGTTGGATGGTTTACCATGAAATGTTCATGTCATTCATGGTTCTCAGGCAGTGCATCCAAATGATCCTGACTTTTCCCCTTTTTCTCAACAAATGGATAGCCATAGAATTTTGTACAAACATCCATTTGCACCTCAGGATAAACTGCAATTACGTTGGTGATCTCCTCTCTGTCAGGTCAAAATGTGATTTGACTGATACTTCCGTTAAAGGAGCTATTTGTAAGTTTTGCTATTGCTACATAGCCAGCGTTAGCATTAACAGCTGTTTACTTGTCAGTCTAGAAGAAACGTCGTGAGTTCAGCAGCAAATTTAATTCTTTTACTCCCCAGCAGCTGTATCCAGCTGTGGAAAGCAGCACCAATGTTAACTCTTGTCTCTATCACATCTTTTCTCCTGCTGAAGTTAGCAATGCTAACCAGCTAGCCTCAGCCAGTCTTGTTACTTTCTGATAGTGACTCACTGTAGCCTCCAATCTGCCCTGAAGACATTGTGCTGCTCAGAATTATAACCTCTTCTATTAGAAAGACCACAATAGCCGAAGCTCTTGTCAAGTGACAATCAGCACCACCCGCTCCCGGCGAGAAACCACATTCGTGGGAGAGAAAACTTACAAATAACCTCCTTTAATGACCAAATGCAAAACAACCGTCATTCCCCTCAGCCTCAGCTGTACTTTGCCTTCAGCTGGAATAACCAAATGTTAGCACACTAACGTGCTCAACTGAGATGCTGACCTTGCTAAACATGATGCCTTCTCAGTATCAGCATGTTAGCATGGTGCACCTAGTGCAGCCTCCCACAGCTGTAAGCATAGCTGTTGACTCTCAGTCCTGTTATTTTAGAACTCAAACATAAATAAACTGCAGCCGAGATGTTTTGTGACTGAAATGGATCAGAGGGATTTTTCCTCACCTTGGACTACTGGATCTGTTTCATTTGTAATTCATGATGCCATATTGGAAATATTGGAAAAATATTCAAACATAATCTACTCATAATTACCACTCGAATATTTATGTGAAGAGTTTTTGTTACTGTGCAGTTTATATAATATGAACATAGAATAGACTAATCTGCCAAGGTAGGATCCTTGTGTCCCACAGCTTCTTTATGATTTGTAATTGGACTCTCTCCAATGCTTCTTCATTTAGTGGGGATCATGTCTGCATCCTGCAGCAGTGACAGCAGACGTTCTGAAAGTCCAGACTGACTGTGGTGTAATTTCAGTTCTGTTCAGTAGACTGACTGCACCAGTGAATAAAGCTGCTCCTTCTGGTCCAAACCTTTAATCAGTTTGTGTGCTTCTGTTTCTTTGTGGGTTTACCTGCCATCCGAATTTTCTTTGTATGTTAGCAGCAAACCGTGTGAGAGGAAAACCTCTGTGAAGCTGCTAACTGATCCCATAGAGCCACATTCTGACTAAAGAGCACAAAGAACTACAGTCAGGTCATAAATCAAGAACTAAGAAAGGTCACGGGGTGTGGGCATGGACGAGTTCACATTTTAAATACAGTGTATTCTTCAGGTTTGTGTCTTTGCTCTACTTCAAGCGTCTCAGCTTTCCCCCTGTTCACAGGTCAGTGTGCCATTTGAACATCTGGCAAAGTGAGTTCATCTTGGCTGGCCTGCAGGTCAGTGGCAGGTATGGACATGCATGACACACACACACATAAACACACACAGACACACACACACACACACACAGCATGCTTAAACAGCTATCCAAGTCTTTTGTTGATGACCTTGATGAACTTGATGACCCCTGACGCCACACCCTTCGCATCCAGGTAGAGAGATAAACCTTTGATATTTAGCTCAATAGTTATTCAACAGCAGTAATTCAAAGCAACAATAATAAGAAATAAGAAACAACACAGAGCCACATATATTTACATATATTGTGGGAGCAAAAAACGTGTGTGATCCTTTAATTGAGTGTTCACAAACTAGTTGGCCACCTCACTTGCTTTACTAAGATGGCCATACACCCAGCTTAGACGATAAGTCATCCTGGGAAATGTAGGAAATCAAAAAAAGTACTTTACATCAGCTGAGAAAACAAACTCCAGTATCACAGACTGAATCTATGACTGATAAAAAACAAACAAACAACAAACTCTGGACCTTGTCGTTGGTCCATCGTTTGTATGGTTGTAAAATTTCTTGGGCTTCTCCAACCTGATTATTGTCAGCCACGAACTACAAGCAGTACAGCATGAAATAGCATAAAATGCTAACATTTTTGGTTTTGGTTATTTCATGGGATTTGTTGACAGTGACAAAATTATAGAACATCTCGAGTCTCATCCTTCAGTTATCCAAAATAACTAACATTTCTCTCCCTTGTTTTGTCTCTTGTGGTTCAGCAGCTGCAGGGTATCAAATACCCCTTACTTTTCGAAATGGATGAATGAAAACATGAATGAGTGGAGGAGGAGGAGGAGGAGGAGAAGAGGAGCAGGAGGAGGCGTTGCGGGCCCTTAAAAGGGGGGACGAGGGTGTCCGTGTGTCTGTCAGTGCTGTGTGAGCATGCTCAGTGTTGGAGAAACACTGAGATGATGAAAAACCAGTGAGACAAACAGACTCTTGGCTGGAACTGGTTGGTACTGCTTTTCGGGGTGCGGCTGGAGGAGGAAGGGGCCGAAGTAACACACAGGTCCCGCCCCTTCTTCGCTCATATTCACCTGCCCATCGACTCAGAGGCTCAACTTGCAAAAAAAACATCAAAGTGCACAAAATGGACTAAATTTCAATTATTCCGTAGTTTACACCTGTGTTTGAATAAAAAAAAAAATTTAAAAAATCAACTTTCAACCTGCTAATGTTTGAGAGCTACATCCGCTGTTTATGGTGTTCTTGATTATAAATGAATATGTAAACAACTATGGACACGAACACAAAACAAAAGTGTATTTAGGCCTATAATAGATGAGACAGGAGAACGCTTCAGAATGGACCGAGGACGAGATCAGAGGAGGAGGACGACTGAGAGAGTCTGCAGTGAATTTGTGGATGGGAGCAAGGCTGCTTTTTTGTCAGTAAATGTCAGTGTCTGTCTGTGTGTTATTGTCTTAAATATTCGTTTTGCCTTCAGCTTTGCTTTTAGAGAGTCTGAGGAAAGGAGGGACAGAGGAGGGAGAAGTGACCGTTGATGAATTATCCACAAATTATAACAGAGGATCTGTCCCTGATGTGATGACCTTTCAATTAAAAGTTTGTCTTACCAAGGTGAGATTAACCAGGAAAACATGCTCATTGAATGTGAAAAGAAAGAGTAAGTAAGACAGCTTTGAGTTGAGGACAGGATGAAGGGAAAGCCATTACGATTGTACGATATGATAAAGCCTTAGTCCAGCTTGTAACTCCAGGTATGAGGAGACTTGAGAAAGTTATAAGATCTTGGTGGTGAACAAGTCTGGTGTTACATATGTTATTTTTCTTCTTTATGTTTGCTTTTTTTTTTTGTTTTTGTTTTATAAAACATGTAAATGTGTAGATACCTTTTGCCAGAATGTGACAGATTGTTTGAAGATGATGCTGGTGAGAGAAGAGTGCTGTTTATCTCCTGAGAGCCCTGGGGCAAATAGTGAAACAATAACCTTTAGAGTCTGCCAGAAGTGTGTGTTTTAGTTTCCACTGTGGCAGGCAATGACAGAGAGGTTCTTTGCTGATATTTTGAGGAAGTGTTTTTGACCCAGACCTGTCAGGATGGACAGATGTCACCGATGGGAAGGAGGGAGCTGACTGATGTCCTGTACATTTCTTTACCATGCTTCAACTTTATTACTATGATATTTGTGTATATTTTCTGAATCAATAAAAATATACACAGCTTATACAGACTTCTGTTTCACTTCACACAGAATACAATGAATTTATTTTGGTATGTTTTCGAGTGTTATCTTTACTTTAACCCCTTTAACTTTTATTTTACATAAATGTTAAAGATGTCCCTTGAATATAGCTATAGCTAAGGACTGAAACTCAGGATATCTCAGTCACTGCTTCCTTTGTCTGTCTTTAATCTTTAGTCTCTTATGACCTTGGTGTCATGGTATCTTTGGCCCTGATAAGAAAGATCTGTACAGAGGCTTTGAATGTCATTGGAAAATATGTAAAAACAAAGTGCAAAAAAGTGTTTGCAGTTATACAGTTTTACAGTGATGGAGAGTAACCGAGTACATTATTACTTGATATGTCTACTTCACTGAAAATAGAGACAGACTTTTACTTTTAACTCTACACTTATCTGACAGCTAAAGTTCTAAGATACTTTGCAGATTAAAATTTTACAAATAAAACACGTTTTATACACAGTGCAGTTTATAAAATATGATGCATTGTTACAGATTTAACTACTTAACAGTATATAAATTGTTTTACAACATTGAAATGGTCCTTACATGTTTATACATCAGTAATAATTATATGAAATAATCCATGATAATAACTCTAACAGGGCCAATTCTGAATGCAGAATGATACGTTCACAAGTACTCTACATTTTGTTGATAATGTCTGTACTGCTTCAGCAACATTTTGAAAGCAGGAGGTTATTTTATTTTAGAGTATTTTTCCATTATGTTAATGCTAATTTGAGGAACAATGTGAGTACTTGTAGCACCACAGTTTACTAGGATGCTTAATAAGATAAGATAAAATAAGATAAGATAAACTTTTATTGATCCCACACTGGGAAAATTCACTTGTTACAGCACCATAGGAAAAACGAGGTAGAAGAAAACAAAACAAAACAAGTATAACAATAGAATAAAGTAGAAAATAACAACTCAACCATAAATAAGAAGGTATGTACATAAATACTTGCATGTGTAGACATGTGTAGAGATATTTACAAAGATATTTACATGATGTGCAAACAGGGAAATAAGTGATAGAGTTCAAATTAAGGTCAAAATGTCTGCAGAGAAAGAAAGATGTACAGAGAACAATAATAAATTCAAAAAGAACATTATGACATAACAAAAGTTAAACTTATTATTATGTTGATTGTGTGTTGCCCACTTCCTCTGACTACACAGGACAGGAAGACGTAAACAAATAATTAATCACCGAGCATGTAGGCACAGTGTTCTTCCGACCATCTCCCACATATTCACTCCAGCTGGGCCAGGAATAGACCCGCGTATGGTCGGAGCTCGTCGCGCAAGCCCCGCCCCCCGTCTGTGTTAGTCAGCGTCTGATTGGCTGAGCCGGCTCGTCCTCGAGGAGTGGGCGGGGTCAGTTTGATCTGCAGTTAATCCGACAGGGATTGGTCTGAAAGTCAGCGGAGTAGAGGAACCGGAGCAGAGAGGAATGACGGAGTTTACCGTTTTAACTCCAGAAACACAGACTTTAGACGATGTTAACGGACACACGGGAGTTTTAAAATGATACTACAGGCGTTGTTTAACACGAGAAACCAACTTTAGGGGTTAGTTTGTGGTTGTGTGTTTTTTGTGGGAGTCGCAGGGGTTGACGGGGCGGTCCGCTGAAGGCTCAACATGGATGAAGCAACGGTGCGGCTCTGAAGAGGAATTAGGGCCGTTTCTGGGTTATTTCTGGTCGTGAGTTTGTCTGACGGAGCCGAGGAGGGTTTTTTAAAGCAGTAGCCTATTTACCAGGTGAGTTTAGTGTCTAAAAACAGGTGAGAAATACTTTGCCTTTACACAAACATTGAGTTACTCTACTAACGCAAGTGTTTCTTTCCTAATTACAGAATTACAAATCAAATTCACCTGTTACTTGTTGTGGCTGACTGTTAGCAAAGGTGAGTCTTTTCAAGCTTTGCTGTTTGTGGTTCACTTGTTTGTGTATGAGTCAGATTTACGTTCAGCAATATTTCACAGCCATACAATAAAACCACAGTTATGGAAATAATGTCAAAGTGAATATAGAAGTGCCAAAATGTTTGTAGTGGCTTCCTGCTCAGTAAATCCCAGTGTTGTTGCTGCTGTTGTTGTTGCTGTCAACCATATCATTACTTATTATGAATTATAAACACCCCCTGTCTGCCCCCCCCCCATCACCCCTTCCCATCTGTTGCTCTGCTTTATTACTGACCCCCTGCCTCTCTAGTAAAGCATGTGTGTGTGTGTGTGTGTGTATGTGTGTGTGACCCTTTTTGACTTTCAAATGAAACACACAGATGTCCCTTTGCTCCAACACAGCATCATTTCACTGTCACTGGTATTGTGTGTGTGTGTGTGTGTGTGTGTGTGTGTGTGTGTGTGTGTGTGTGTGTGTGGCTGCTGATGCCTTCACTTCTTCTTGTTGACATGTGGATCTGCTGATCCCTGGCAAACCAATACAAATGACCTGCTGTCTCACACACACACACACACACACACACACATATACATGCACACGAACAGTGAAACCATAACTCCTCCCAGTTTCACATATAAATGCACGAAAGCAGCATAATTTATTTTATCAAACCACCAAATTTAATAAGTTGACGTTATCGTGATTAGTGTTGTAAAGAAACTAAACGGTGGCTTGTGTGTGTGTGTGTGTATGTGTGTGTGTGTGTGGGATAGCGTTATGTCAGCGTGTCATTGTCTGCGCCATTTGTTCTCTGTGCTGTGTGACTGTCAGTTGCCATGCTACTCTGGCAGATGAGACATAATAGGTCAGAATGAAGGGTAAAATCTCCCACTGTCTTTCTTGATCAGTAGCCATTTTGAGCCCTTTCTTTTATCATTGTAATCTCCGCTTGTATCTTGTGTGTGTGTGTGTGTGTGTGTGTGTGTGTGTGTTTGTGTGAGCCCCCCACTCCATGTCACCAACATCAAGGTCTCCCGTCTCCCCCCAAAACTCAGTCTAACACAAGAAAATGTCCCGTCAGCGCACAAGAAAAAATGCACCCTGAGAAACATGACTGTGATTGTTTAGACGCTGACGAGCTGCTGCTTATGTAACGTGTCTTCTGGCCGCTTCAAGTCCAGTCATCTTCAGTAGCTGTGGGTCATGGATGCAACAGCATATACATGACGTCTTTTGTTCATCTCCACCTAAACTTTGTCAGGCTGAGTCTTGTTTGACTCACTGGTCAGATTTGGAAAGACCTGTGGATAGCGGAGGTGGGAAAGTGCATCCTAAGATGTATTTTTGACACTTATTCAAAACAGTCTGTCGTTTGATTCTGTGACAATATCACATCACGTCTGTTGCACTCTAGATGTAAGTGTTTGTTTTTGTTGTCAGTCCTGTGAATCAAATAGTTTTTTTTAATTTTTTTTTTTATAGATGTCGTCATTTCATTCCAAGATATAACTGTTATCATACAAGGAGGAATCGCAATCATTGAAGCCTCAAAATACCAGAATGCCTTGCAGCCAAATGACACGTTGCCTTTTTGTTAAGTTGAAAAACAAAGAATGCTCTAAAGCCCACATGCTCCAGCAGAGTAGTAGTTGTTGGGGCATGTTAGCTGGCAGTGGTCAAATTGCATTCTGGGAGATCTAGAAACAAAGAAAAATTGATTTTCTTTCCATATAGTGCAACAATAATACTGTTGTATACTATATAAAAAATATAAAGCCACACACACCATTGACTCATAGTGAAATGTTGACCTGCAGTGTGACTGTTTGTCCTCTATCTGGCTTCCTATCTCAGATCACACATTGCACTGATAACAAAGAGCGTGTGATCTATATTCCCGGGTGATGATTACTAGTGAGAATGGATGTTCATACCTTCTGGATTGTGTCACTGTTTGAAAAGAGTTCCAGTGGTTACTAGATGTACACGTACATTCCTTTCGGGCCATTTCACTGACGGGTCACCTACTCTTTCCAACTCGTCCCATAAAGACTTGAAGGTTTGAGACCCTCTGTGTCACTTCCAGATGTTGAGGCTGTTGAGGCGAGACATGCCGCTTTCAGAGAGGCTGGGGGAAGACTCTCCTCTGGCCGCAGCGCCCGGCCCGGCGCTCACCGCAGCCCCTACGGGCCCCAACATTTCGTGGCTCCCGGAAGCCCCGCGGTTGAGCTCAGAACCGCCTATCTTCCTCATGACTCCCGCGGCACAGGCTGTGTCTGGCTTCTTCGTCTGGACCGCGCTCATCCTCACCTGTCACCAGGTAACGACTTCCAAACAGCACGGGGACAGGGAGGGGTATAAATCAACAGATTTTTAATTCCACTGAAACCGAGTGATACTGTTTCATTTACTCAGCTCGAGATACAAATGATGAGTTTTTAGTGAACTGGTTTTCTGAAGTAGGTGCTTGCAAAGATGTAAAGTAGACGGGTGTGTGTGTTGTTTAATGCACAGGTGATGTGATCCTGAAAACACACACACATCTGCTCAGGCCCAGAGAAGGGCAGGGGTTGCTTAGCAACATCCCTCGGCAGGTGTTTGTGACACTGAGCATGAATACGCACGAACACACACACACACACACACACACACACACACACACACGTGTGAAACCTGATTCAGGGGGATGAAAAGCCCGTATGAAATCTGGCTGGAGTTTCCTCTTTCACACGCTCCAGTGAGGTCGTGTCATGTCGTAACTGTTAACCTCAGTGACTTTGACAGCAGAGACGCCTAGATGATGTATAAATGTCTCATGTATTCTATTCTCTTCTCCGTATCTGTATCTACGTAAAGACAAACCAGTTTTATTCTCAGCTTCTAATTCCCTTTTCTTAGTATTGAATAGGTGTGTTCCAGCTTCACTCATAGACTCTCTGCCGTCTCATCTTCCTGTAAAAGCATTTAAGCCCTTTGATACAGACTTACTAGTCTGCATATTGTTGTAGACTAGTAAGTCCGTATGAAAGAGCAGGGAAGCAGCTTTGCTTTCTTATCCCACAAAGCTGTGGGATATGTTACTTTTAATCCATCCTGCACTACACACTTTATTTTATTCTGACGTAGTGTTGATGTTTTAAACTTGTTTTTCTAGTTTGACACTTGTATTGTATAAAAGTCTGTTTTGCATGAAGAAGTCTCATTTTCAGTGTTTAGTCTGTCAGTGTTTAAGATGTCTCTTCTGTGTGTTCCAGATCTACATGCATCTACGTTTTTACAGCTCGCCCAGGGAGCAGCGCCACATTGTGAGGATCCTCTTCATCGTTCCCATCTATGCCTTCGACTCCTGGCTCAGCCTCCTCTTCTTCACCAACGACCAGTACTACGTGTACTTCGACACCGTCAGGGACTGCTACGAGGGTAAGGACGTGCTTTCGACGAGCTCTCCTGTGCAGTTCGGTCTGCGATGGTGCAGACAACGACTCTCGCCTGAAGCTTGCTAGTCAGTGTTAGTGCTCAGAGTTTTCTAAACACATTTACTGTATTTTGTGAGTGTCCATATGTATTTGGACAGGAGCTACTTTTAATTCCCAAATCGTTTTTAGTTTATATCAGTTTAGGTCGTTTTGTAATCTAAAGAACTCCATCTGTACGTGTCTCTGAAATTTGGTTTTGGTGTTATTTTGAGTTGAGTTAATGTGACTGTTACCAGAAGAGATGTGAGCATGGATCAGCGGTTTACAGTCACTGTAGCTTGACTGTGTTTGTATGTTTCGGGTCAGAAACGTTGAAGGAGACGATGATCTGGCGGCTTTGCTCGGCGGATGGATGACGCAACCGCAACAACCGCTCCCTGATGCTTCTGAATGTGTGTGTGAAATCCTGAATGGGCAGGAGGCGGTGAATGGCAGGTGACTGCCTCCGCTCCTCGTTCTCCACAGTCAGCTGTGACGTCCGTGATTAGAAATAGTCGGCTCGCTGTGACAACTTAGCTTGGGTGTCACTTCCTGTGCGGGCGAGCTGATGATGTCACACGCATTCGGATATGGAGCGGGGATGCTCTGTGTATGGTTCTGCTTTTGTCAGGAAGCGGCGTCAGTGTTAGCGGTCGTCGTATCACTCCCACAGACAGATGGCTCTCCTTCTCCTTCTTTTCCTCCTCCTCCTCTTGACATCATCGTCCCTTCCTTCACTCCCCCTTTTTCACACTTCTACCTCCTTTTCACTTCTTGTCCTCTCCTTCTCTTCTTCCTCCTCCTTCTCCTCCTTCTCTTTGCCCTCCCCTTCTCACAATGCTGCTGAGCCCTGCCTAGATCTTCGCCTCAGCGAGGATGGACCGACCTGTTGCATGGCAACCGCGCTCACAAATCTTCCTCATCAACTAGAATGACTGCATCAGATAATGAGGTTCTCTCAACCAAACTTGCTGCAAAGTTCCTATTCTCATTGCATGTAGGCCTACTGTATCACCGTGGCAACGGGCAGTGCTTACTGGGGTCCTTGGGGAGAAGGATAATGGTAAACAGCAGAGACACAGAGAGCTCGACTCAGAGCAGATCAACCAGCTCTCATCACTCGGCTCTGGACACTAGCTTTTGTGTTTAAGTCAGTGAACTGGCAGGGATGACATGTTATTACCTAAGTGTTGTCTAACAGGTGTCTGGAGTCCAGTAACAAAGTTCGTGTGTGTGTGTGTGTCTGTGTGTGTGTGTGTGTGTGTGGAGTAGAGGTGAAGTCATAGGAAGAAAAGGAGAATATAATAACTCAGACAGCTGACATAACAAGAATCTCTGCCATTAGTACAGCTGAGATCTGCTTTGAGATGCATGTGATGACACAACACTGCAACACACACACACACACACACACACACACACACACACACACACACACACACACACACACACACACACACACCGTGGCATACGCCCAAAATAAATCACATTTTCACACTTTCACAGTTAACTCATTCACACCTGCTACGCTCACCTTATTTTACCTTACACGCACAGTCAGACAAACACTAGTGAGAGTGTGTGCGTGCGTGCGTGCGTGTGAGAGAGAAAATGCAAACACACACAAATAGAGGGATAGGAAGTTCGTCGGGGGTTAACAGGATTAGCCCGGTTGTGTTTTTTTATGAGCTTCTTGGTCGTCATCAGCCTCTCACTGAAGCAGCACAGAGGGGAGATAATCCACTGGTCACAAGAGACTGTCAGGTGAGAATCAGTCACAAGGGGAAAGGTGTGTGTGTGTGTGTGTGTGTGTGTGTTTGTGTGTGTGTATGGAGGTTTGGATCTTCTGTCCTTGTCTAAAGCCAATTTTCTCATAGAAAGTGAAGATGTTGATGCCACCACAGACGACTTTTTATTTCCCCTGTGAGCCGTTAATCTCACTCAGAGTCCGTGGCTTCAGTCACCACGTGCGCATATGTGCTGGGATTACTGGATTTAGGAGGGCCTGCCTCTGACTATATTATTCCTTTGACTGATCTATAAGCAGTGACTCTATTACACACAGTGGTAAACACTAAAGCTGCAGGGTGGGTGTTCATTATCCATTGTCAAATTTATGTAAATTTAGCTCCTGATAGATTTAAGCAACAAATCACATCTTAATGTTTAAGAAAATAAAACTCAAACATTAATATCCAAAGAAGTAAATCTAAAACTTTATCAGATTGTCTGTGCTATTTAGCTAAATTTCTCCCTGCCGATAGAGTAGCAGAGTCTTCCCTTTTTAATGCATCTGCTCTCCTGTCTGTACATATAACTAAATCAACAAGTAGACACACGCCTCTGTAATGGTATTTAGTGGTTATTATAATGTGTTTAAGGTGGGAAAACGTCTTACTTTGGACCCTGATTACTGTATTATTATTATTATTATTATTATTGTATACTTCTATCATAATAAGACAACCAAATGAGACTTAGCTAGAATCATGTATTGTTTGAAAAATTGTGTGTTGAGGCCCAGTCTCAATAAACCTCAGACGCAGCAGATATAAAGCTGTATGCAGATGTTAGGGAACCTCCAGGGAAACTGACTTTTGAAGTGGAAAAAAAGTGAATGCAACCTCTGCAGAAACTGACATCAAAAGAAAGAGCCTTTTTTTTCCTAATGTTAGTGAACTGAAAAATATGCATGTGCAAAAGTTTGATATAACTTTTGTCACTTTGTCATTTTACACTCATTTACTCATAATAATCCAAAATTATCGGGACGATCAGAGTAAAAATATCCTCTTTTCTCATCTGTCAGTGTGTCAGTCTTGTGTAAGTCTTTAAGGTCACACTAAAGTTCAGTATCTGACACCGTGTGACCTTTTGCAGTGAACTGTGTAATGAACGACATGTTGCCACACCCCGCTGTTTCACTGAATAAGTACAAAACTTATATCTTACGTCTGTATGTGGTCGGCTGCTGCAGTCAGCACACAGTCTGTCAGACCATAACGCATAAGCAACACACGATTACGTAATATGTGTACTTTCAGACGTGTGACAGGAAGTGATGTGTTTGCGTGACTGCTGGAGGGTCTGAGGGTGAGTCACTCGCTCTATTTTTTTTTTTTTTAGGTTGTGGTATTACAGTTTAAACCATTGTCTCAGTGTTACTTTGCGTTGCCAAGTGCACCTTTAATATTTCGTACATAACAAACACTATGACATGCTAATCAGTGGGAAACATTAGGCCTTTTTCGCAGAGGACATGTTGCCATATTCCCTCCATTTCAAATGTCAGTTTCAGGTAAATATTACATAGGATCAGGTGGGAAGCTTTTACAGCAGCATTCACTGTCAGACAAACCAAATAGTTCCCTCTTAAACATCTTGGTGGCCTGTTCAGAGCTGCCATGGTTAATAGAAATAATGTCTATTTAGACGTAATGACAACCAAACCTTTGTGTCCTTATTTTCCCCCAGCGTTTGTGATTTACAACTTCCTGAGTCTGTGCTATGAATACCTCGGAGGAGAGAGCGCCATCATGGCCGAGATCCGAGGGAAACCCATCGAGTAAGTCTCAGATTTCTCCTGCAGAGGGATTCAGTTTTTAAAAAGTGTTTGTGGCCAAAACATGAAACAAGGGTGATTAGCAGTTGTTGTGTTGTTGAGTTAAGAGTTATTGTGCAAATATTTTCCCTTTTCCTGCTGTATCCTGCTGTATCCTGCTGTATCCTGCAGCTTTGCTGCTTTAACACACTGTTGATTCCTCACAGAGATCAGAAACGATTCACATGATTTGTTTTTTTTTTTTTGCTTCAGTCAGAATAAACGGAGCTTTGTCTCATCAGGTCCAGCTGTATGTACGGTACCTGCTGTCTGAGGGGAAAGGCCTACTCCATCGGCTTCCTGCGCTTCTGTAAGCAGGCCACTCTGCAGTTCTGCGTGGTCAAACCGCTCATGGCCGTCATCACCGTTATCCTGCAGGCCTACGGCAAATACAAGGATGGAGACTTCAAGTAAGTACTGCAACCGGGAAGGAACAATAGATAATCAGAGCAAAACCACATTCAAATGATGTATAAATGACCGACTTCTCTTCCCACAGTGTTGCCAGCGGTTACTTGTACGTAACCATCATCTACAACATCTCGGTCAGCTTGTCTCTTTACGCCCTGTTCCTCTTCTACTTCTCCACGAGGGAGCTGCTCAGCCCTTACAGCCCCATGCTCAAGTTCTTCATGGTGAAGTCGGTGATCTTCCTCTCCTTCTGGCAGGGTAGGGGAAGCTGCTGTTAACCGTGTAAACGTGTCATGCAGTGCCGCCGGGGGCCGGTTTCATCCTCACTAAGTTTCATCTTGTCGTTTGTGGTCAGGCATGTTGCTGGCCATCCTGGAGAAGTGCGGGGCCATCCCTCAGATTAACTCGTTGGAGTTGTCCCTCGGCGAGGGCACGGTCGCCGCTGGTTACCAGAACTTTATCATTTGCATCGAGATGTTTTTTGCGGCGCTGGCTCTGCGACACGCTTTCACCTACAAAGTCTACATGGACAAAAGTCTCGATTCACAAGGTGAGAAGACGAGGAGGAAAGTTTGAATGTTTGGAATCGTGTCCGAACGGCTTGTGTGGATTTTCTCCCTCATTACCCTCCTTTATTTTATTTTATTTTATTTTATTTTATTTTATTTTATTTTTTAAATAAAAAAACAAAATCCACCTGCTCCTTTATTCATTTTCTTTCTCTTTTATTCTTTTATTTTTTCACCTCTTACTTTTTGTGCCTCCTCACATTCTCTTGACATGTCTCTTCCTGTTTCTACACATCGATCTTCATCTGTCTCTGTTCTCTTTCTGCTGCACCGTAAAGGACCCGTTCCTACGTACGGACAGTTTGGTAGGTCACATGATGATGTTTACTCCTCAAGCCCCCCCCGCCACCCCCACGGCCCAACCCCCACACCGGCACCCTCCCTCACACCTCCTCGCCGCCGGACCTTCCCCCCCCCCCATTTTTGTTCATGCTACTGTTTTTGCCCTTTTTTTATTCAGTGATTTGAATGTGATCTGGTTTTAACTGTTGCCGTTTTTCATTTTATATTCTTCTTTTTGCTCCGACAAAGCCGTTTCCTTTCCATCATTCCCACCTGTTTTTACTCTCGTTTTATTCTGTTTCCTTCCTTTCTTTCATCCCTCTACGTCACTGTGAACCCTTTTTCCCCTCTCTGTTCCCTCTCTTTAAATCACATCCTCTGTCCCTGTACAATTCCCGCTTTTCCCCTCACTTCTCTTTCACCCATTCTCTCCTTTTGTCTCGCCGTTGAACACCCTCTAAATCACCGATGCCCCATTCCTCTCTTCTCCCCATTTGCGGTCCGTTCTTTTCCTCTCCCAGCCTCTTCTCCCTCCGCTAAATCACTCCTCTTCTCATTCCTCTCTTATATTCTCTCCTCTCTTCTCATCCTCCCTTCCTCATTCCCCCTTTCTTCCCTTCTCCATTTGATTTCACCATAAATCCACCGTCCTTTTAATGTTTTCCCTCTTTTCTATTTTTTATTTTAACCCTCTACTTCCCCCTTTTTCTTTCTTCTAAATTTCTAAGCCTCTTCACATCCTTCTTTTTCCCTCTCCCAACTATCTTTTTCTACCCTCTCCCTTTAACCCTATTCACTCTTTCTTTTTCTTTCACTTCCTGTCCTGACCTCTAACCCTCTGGTGGTCTCGTCTGCCTCCCGCAGGCCGCTGTGCCCCCATGAAGAGCATCTCTAGCAGCCTGAAGGAGACGATGAACCCGGGCGACATGGTCCAAGACGCCATCCACAACTTCTCCCCGGCCTACCAGCAGTACACCCAGCAGTCCACACTGGAGCAGGGCGCGCCGCCTCCCGTCTCCCGCACCCACAGCACCGTCAGCGCCCGCGGCGACACGGAGAAGACCCTCCTGCTCAGCTCTGATGACGAATTCTAAAGAGGAAAATGAGGCAAACAGGCACTCGTCGCACCACAGCTGAATCTTATTCAGACTGATGTTTTAATGGCGGAGGGAACTTAACCCTCCTGTGCAGCTGGTCCTCTTAAATGTGTGATTGATTGTAGAGTTGCGTGTTTGTTTTACCTGTTTTTGAGACTGCTCATGAATGCGAGGACATGCGTAAACATTTTTTGCACCCACACTTCCCCAAGCGTCTTATTTGGTGGGAACGCTCTGTGCTGATTTTGTGTTAAAACCACAGGCCAAGAAAATAAACAGGGCTGTGTCAGTTTTTGGAAAGTTCGTGAGTCACACTTGTACATACTGAATCATACTTGACTTATGAACAAATGTTTTCTGGCTTGGATAGAAGGTTAATTTCAAATTTTAGCTCAGTCTTGTTTCCTCCGCTCATGTAATCATCCTAATGGATGTTAATGTTTAGTCTCTGAAGGCTCTGTTGTTCTCAGATATCACTGACGTCTCAGAGTTTCCCCAGTCATGGAAATCCTTCAAAAGTTGAATTAGATATTTTTTTTTCCGTGACTGGAAGTGAAAAATATTATTTAAGTTCCATAAAAGTTTTGAACTTTTAATTTTATGAACTTAAAAATAATATTTAGATATTAATTTGCAAAAAATGGGACAAATTAGTTGGTCTGCAATTATATTAATGTGCTTCAAACAGAGGCTGTTTGCAGTGTCGTGGCAGTCTTGTGGTGCAAAGGTACGGAAAATATACGTCTAGATTAATTATGAGTGAACCCTGGTGTGTTGTGGGATTTTAAGGGAGCCCAAGTCAGAAACACGAGTTGTATGGATCAATGTTGATTATATTGATGGAACATATAAGAGCGAGGCAGAGCAGATTATAGATTATATGGTACATCTGCTGCAGGGGGCAGCAAGAGTGAAGGGCAGCGGCAGAACTGATCAGGATTACACTGGTGTAATTGGGGCCTTATTTGAACGGCTGGGATTAAAGCTCGAGCCGGTTGACTCAGACCGTTCAGACCTCTGCAGGTCACAATGTAGGTTAACAGCGCTGAGGGAAAAACACAGGAGGAATATAGGTTAAAGCTAACTTTAGATGCTAGAGGAGCTCTATCATAGCAATGGAGTAGTTCCTCTGTTAGCATAGATGCATGATGTTAAAGGCAGGCTGTGCTGACATTTAAAGTCGAACTTGAAAGTTAAATTCTCGCTGTTTTTGTAAGTAAACTGCCGCTCTGTATAATTTTCCATTCTTTAAAAAAAAAAGGAATGAATCCAGTGTTTGTCCCACAGTTTAGAAAGGAGGGGGGCGAGCTGGCATCAGCTGTCTCTCTTTCATGACGTGACGGCATGTATACAGTTAACAGCAAGAAGTAGTCCTTTAATCTCCATGACTCCGTACGTACACAGCGTGGACGCACGGAGTCATGGAGTCATACAGGAAGTGCTTCAATAACAGATGATGCTAATGCTAATAACTTGGTTAACATCCTGTGTGTCTGAAGGAAAGTGATAGCATGAACCCAAACAGATATTGGACCAATCTAATCACCAGTACCGATGGAGAACACTCATGTGGTTCTTCTTGATAAATTTCAGTCAAAACAAACACCAGTGACTCACATGTACTGATTTCTTAGCAAAATTTCAGTTCGACTTTAGATTTGTTTGAGTTGTTTAATTTAAAAAGAAAATCCACCCATCTCACAGCCTGATGGTCCTGATTGAATCACTAACATCCGTCCAAACCAAGTGACTTTTCTGAATTTTCCCCGGACTCGCCCACTGTAGTGACTTCTCTGTTCAGCCAGTAAGGTTTCAGTATTGTCAGTTTTTGCTTGAAAGAACTTAAGTCTTCAGCTTAACTACATTTTTTTTTTTAATGCACACTAACACAGGTCTTACCCTGAGTTAGGGTATATTTGAAAGCACAAACTGCATATAAGCACTTCACATGTTCATCTAACACATTTACAGTATGTCAGAGAGTCAATATTCCCTCAGTTAAATATAACGAGTGCGTAAACTTCACATTGTTTCGTTTCTTTGACTTGGATGCTGCTCTGTTCCAGTCTTTTTTCTTTCTTTCTTTCTTTTTTTTGTTTGATTTCATTTCACCGCAGTCAGAGCGGGTTATTTTTTACTCATAATTGGAGTTCTTGAGTCATCTGAATGAGTCATGCCGAGTCTGCCGACGTGTTTACTGTAACTACTTTCACTGCGCTGCTGTTGCTCTGTGTGAACACCAGGGGGCCGTGTGGAGGACACGGACACACTGACACTTATCTGCCAGCCATCAGGCAGTTATCAAACACTTTAACCTTGGTGTATATGTAACGGAAAAAAATGCTTTGTCTGAGGGCCTGTGTGTGTGTGTGTGTGTGTGTGTTGTCAGCAGAAAATGGGAGCAATCCCAGGCCTCAGACAGTGGTCATGGGTCTTTTTTTATTTCTACTTCTGCTTGACATAATATTAGTTTTAAATAAGAGGGATGCCACGTCTGTGCACAGTAACCGCAGCCTATTTTTAGACATTGCTGAGTGCTGCCTGGGTTGTTACGTTGCTAAATTTTGACATGGATAAAAACTGGAATTTTTTTATTTTTTTATTTTTTTTTCACCACGACCAAGTTTCATCCACAAATGAGTTCCTTCATAAAAAAAAACCCCACGTCAGTTCAGCATTGTTGTGCTGCTTACAGTTTTCTGTCTTCATTTTCTCAGAGTCATGAATGAACAACCTCAGATGTCGGACAAACCGGCGTCGACGGATTTTGGGGTTGAAGCGTTGAACCTGATAGATACGAATCTCTTGTGTATCTATTAATGTGCTTCTATAAATGTGAAATGACATTTTTCCTCTGCACTTTCTCATCAGGGTGGAAATGATGATGAACCCAAACCGATGCAAGTTTTTTTTTTCCATGCCTGATATAATAGTAATAATAATTCACAATTTAAAAGCAAGACAGTGTGTCAGTCTTGCTGCACTTTGAATGCCATAATTAACTTTTCTAGCTAAGACGCTCTCATGCACTCTTCACTCCCCTCTCTCTACATCTTTGTCATCCGCTAATGTGAGTCGTTCTTATCACATGTATATGAATATTGCTGAGGAAATGCTGTAACTATTGTTGTAAATACAGTTTCAAGGAGGAATAGTAGTGATGTATGTTGATATAGTCACATATGCTGCGAGGCACATGAGCAACAAAGACCTAGTTTTGTATTTTTACTTCATAACTTTGGCTTTTTTATTTTTATTTCAGCAAACTCTTTTGGTTTCTAGTTCTTTGTATATTTTAAAGCTGCTCATGATGCTACTCTTTCATGTCTAATGGATAAATATTGGAAAAAATAATAAAGATATTTAGTCTGGTATTTAGGTTAACAACTTGGGTTTTTTATTTTGCTAATTTATATTTTGTGTCATATTCACGTCATGTGAACACACCAGCGGGACAATTAAACCTGTATTTCAGCAAGTGAACCTGATCTCACAAAAACTACAGTGTACATGCACGAAGACGAGCATATTTATATTTACTTGTCATGAGGAGCAAATATCAGCCAGGTAAAACAGCTGCATGATGTCCTCTGTGGTTCCTCAAATAAGATTTAAAATGTTTGGGCAGGGAAGGCCTGAATAAGTGATTGAGTTGCATTATGGGAAATGTAGGATACTGTATTTTTTGCACTTAACTCGTACTGTAACCGGAGGCTAATAGTCAGGATATCTTGGCCTCTGCTGTTTGTTTTTAAACCATGAATTTTTAATGTTTCTGTTGCAACTTTTTGACAGTGTAACACTAAAGTGCTCAAGTGCTAATTTAAGGTTTTCCTCGATGGAGCCACAGTGAAGAAACAGTTGGATGTATCCTGAGCTGTCTGTTGCCTAGTTAACTAGTATACAACTCTTTTTGTTTTTTGTTTTTTTTTACATTTTACATCTTTTCATCACTGTTTGTAGGAATTGTATAACTCAAAAATGAAAACCGCATCTCCCACAACCCCCTCACTTCCTGCCACAATAGGTGATGTTAACTTCATTATTTTGCCATTATGAAAGAGTGCACTAGAGGAACAGTGCTGCAGGCCGTGCAATGAACCACTATATTAATATCTTAATACTGTAAAACTCAATAAAAGCTCTCAATAAAATAAGGTGAGCTGGTAAACAAGGTGAGATGTTTCTGAAAGGTTTCTAGAGACCACTAATGCTGTTACTGGTACACCACTGTCACATTGAAGGAAACAGAACTGAATTGAACATATTTAAAGGTGTATGTCATGCTACTGAACAATGTAAAAACATCCCCCCCAACACTCGCAGGACATCTGGGATTTAACTGAAGTAAACCTGAGCGCTCGGCTCGTGTACATGAGTCAGCAAATGATGCTGCAGCATGTGTAAGGTGTTCATGGAGACAATGGCTTCGAATTTATTTGCTATAGATTTCTCTGCCTCATCATAATCTATAATATGATATCAGCTCACTTGTTACTCTCACCATGTAATCCTTGGTCAAGAACAGCACCGTTTATACTTTAAGCCTGAGTTTATCTCATGATCTGCAGTGATAACTTGTGCAACACATCCTGTAGATCCACTTCCTTTCTGTACCACATGTGCAACGACTCTCCCAATTGAGCCGATAATCACAAAACGCACCATTTTATGTACAATATGTACAACATTTATTATAATTAATATTTAAAATAGACAATGTACTTAAATTTTCACAATAGAAAAAATACAAGTAATAAATACAAAGACCATTTTTGTTTTGCAAGTATTACAAAACATCCAGCACAATTTGACAGATGTGAGACGTTAAAATATTGAGAATAAATGCTTTGCCACACTGATATTCATATAGCTAAATATATCTTAAGGAGTTATTTGTCAACACAGTCTAATGTGTTACAATGCCTGCTTATAAATGATATTGCTAGCTCTATTCAGTGGCCTAGACTCCATGAAATCCAGGCCTGTTTTAGCATGTCGACTGAAACAGGCCTGTGACTGATGGAGGTTTTCAAGTGAATAAAACACCACCTTATTTCACCACCTTCTTTCCCAGTCCGCCTTGCCAACTTTCTTTCTCCATCATCCGACAACTCCTCAACCTTCCTGTCTCGTCCTCATCTCCATCTTTCTCCTTTTTTCAGTCATGTTTTCCTTTAACATCCTGTGTTTCTGCCCACCCTGCCAATTCAGAAGTGACCTTAATTTTTCACGCAAATAACATACGAACCATCGTAGAAAAATAATATCCCTCCAAGAATCCACTAGGACAAGCCAGTACAAACATAGCAAAAACACACACACAAAAAAAATCATCATACAGCAATATGGCCATTGGCTTTGAGCATAATTCTACATAGCTAATAATTAACATTTTGTAAAGTAATAATAGTCGCCACACAACACAATTAGACATGAGAATATCCCCAGACTAGTCATAAGTAAGTACTTCTGAAAACAGATAGAACATCACAGCACTCGTTAGCTTGTCTTTTCATAATATCTACCTTTAAATACAAATAAAATATAGAATATATCTCTGATAAATGTCACTCAACATTTTCGTCTCTCAACGGCACATACAAACATTACAAATAAGAACACAAAACGGGAATGTATGCAGAGGATTTTGCATCGATTTTGAGCGTAATTCCTACCAGATGTGACTCCGCTTTGACACGTTTTTGGCAAAATGACCAACATCTGTTGTTGGGAGTCCACCAGATATGAGGAAGAAAAAAGAAAAGGGAGCCACAGCAGACTGTAGCAAGGTTACTGCACAGTAGGGATTGTGAATTGAGTAATGTGGGATTATAGTTTAGAAAGTAGGAGAATCAAGAGGAATAATAAAGAAGGAAATGTGCGGCCATGGACAGGCAAGAAGGAGAGATTATAGTCTGTTTTTAACCTTTTCCCTCTTACATTTGCATTCTTGTAGCTCCTACATACACTGAAGGCACTGCGTTAATGTGGGAAATATGAACACAAGCAGTACAAAACAGGGAGGGGTGACTGGTGAATCCCAAAACCAAGAAATCTGAAAAGAAAGAACAGTTTGAAGGAGCTCATGATTCATGAATACAGTGTTTCTCAACCAAGTTTTGCTTCCAAAATCCTCGTGACCCAAGCAGTTAGAGAGCTGTCAAGGGAATATGAGTATGCTGTAACTGCTGTATTTTATTTGAATGAAGGAAGCTCCAGATTGATTATACAGAAATTATGCTTTTCAAACTATTAACCAAAGACCCAAATAAAAATCTATATCTCCCATCACAACCACCTGGATATCAAGTGACGCCAAGCTTGAGAAACTCTGCATTAATGACTAAGTGATTCATACTTTGGGACACTTTCTTACATGGTAGCAGAAACACATGACCACAGGCTGGTATGAGAAAAAGGCTAGCAACTTCAGACTGCAACTGTACCAGGAATGCAGACTTTGTATAGCTGGAGGAAGCAGCACATACTGTACGTCCGCCCCACCCCATCATTTTGCTGTTGGTCAGGTGCCATAAACTGAAGCGAGGAGAAGCCCTGGTGTTTCGATAGCACAATCAGAGAGCACCAGCGTCACGGCTGGATTTGTTGAGCAGTGGAGATGTACAGTAACTCTTGGTTGGGTTGGTCTGGCTTCAATCCGAGTCCAGTTAGTCAACGTCTACACCCAGCGTGGATGGGGGAATGAGTGTGAGGATTTTGTGCATGTGTGCGTGCATCAGTGCTCAACGCCTCGTTCACATTAACCTGCTGCATTGTTCTGAACTTTGAGTTTCTAAACAAACGCACTTCAGTAAGTTTCGGTCAACTAAGCTGCAGTGTTATAAAAATAGCATCAAGTGGAGGACACCTCCACTGGTCCTAGATGATTCTTCAACTGTTCCTGGCCCTAACTTTGGAAAACTAAGCGGAGCTGTTGTCTGTCCGGTGACATTACACACCACGCTGTCAGCACTGTGTCACACAGGACCAAATGACTCTTGCATACCATAATGTGAATGAGGCGTGATGCAAACAAGCGCTTAGTATTTTCCTACTAATTCTTTTACTCGTCTTCCTGTTCTCCAGCACGTGTGTGTATAGTATGTGTATGCCTGTGAATGTGTGTTTGCATTGCAGGTTGTGCGTCCCTCCCCCTGAGTCTGGTTCCAGCAGCTCCTTCTAGGATGGCTCCTGTTCTCTCTGTGGCTGAGGCTGTGGTGGACTCTTGACGATGGTGATGACTGAGGCGGTGTTGAGGCGTGGGGCTGTAGCCAGCAGGTTGCCGCCTCCGGCTTCCAGACCCCTTGCGAATCTCTGAAGAGCGGCCAGACGTGCGCCGAGCCCCTCCAGCTCTTTCCTCATGCCAGCGTTCTCAGCCCCTAGCCTCTCCACCTCCCTCTGAAGCTCCATCTTCTGCTGCTCCAGGGCCTCTCGCTGGGAGACCCGTTTGACCCGACAGCTGGCGGCATAGCCCCGGTTCTTCAAGGTGCGTCTGCGCTGCTTCAACTTCTGGATCTCCTCGCGGGACAGGCCGCGAAGGTGGAGGTTCAACTCCCGGACCGAGAGGGACATGAGCTCACTGTCCGATAGGAAGGGCACGTTCTCGCCACATTCCTGCTTCACCTAAAGGGAAGAGAGAAGGAGGACATAAGAAGAGAGGAAATACAGTCGGATGAAGTGTTGGAAAAAAACATGGAAGAAAGAGGATAGAATAAAAAACGTCGACAAATGACATTAAAGAACAACTGAACTGGGAGGAGAGTAAAACCTCTCTCTAACATTGCCTTTTTCACTCTCGTAAAAATAGCCTAAGGCTACAAACATGACTCATTCTTCTTGAAATAATAAAACTGAGTTTTATTTCTGGCTGTGTGTTACCTTCAGGGCTTTGCTGTTTCTTTCTGTCGTCATGATCCAACTGTCTTCAATTTTTCCCCCCCAAGCACCAGTCAACACAGATACAGACACTCTGGAAAAACAGAAACAGGACACACACACAAAAAAAAGGTATATTATCACATGTGACTCGGGACATCATGCTGTCTTTGGTCCATATCGGGCCTGACATTTACCATCCGCTCACAAGACAGCCAGTCATGCACGATAAAGAAAAAGGAGAACCCACAGATCGTTCATGCTTCTCCAAATGCGCTCTCTCATTAAACTCTGCGGCCTGATATGAAAGGAAGAGGAGGTTTTGAAAGCAACATGCCTTTTCTGTTAGTTGGAATAGTGAGGAGGAAGTTATCATGTGTCTGCCCTTTGGTTGCTCAAAGCAGGTGTCCTAACCAATTCCCTCAACACTTCCTCTTGTCAACACAATACCAACGGTTCAAAAGCGTTCATTGTGAAAAACTCTAACGAAGGGCAGGCAACTATTTTCTTTCTCTCTGTTAAACTTTAAAAAGGGACTGTATACATTTCATCATTTTACAGTGGTGTGCTTTAGAACAAAAACAAAATGCCATTGTAAAATAATGAGCTCAACATATACAGCAAATGTTAAAATTATCATTATTATTGTAACCTAAAGTGGAACTAAATCATATTTTACTAACAAGACACAAATAACCGTTAATTTCTGACTTTATATTCAAAGCCGGGAACTAAAACACAATGACTGGCAAGGTTTGCACACCCTTACATTGCTTCTTCCAGTAACAAGCTGTAGTAGCAACAGCAGTAAGAGTGTTTGTCCAAGTCTGCACTGCCTTCACACTACTGTATTTGGAAATTTTCTCCCATTCTTCTCACTGAGCAGTTCACAAAGACGACATGGGGACTTCCTGCACTCCTCTTAAGGTCAGTTCACAAATGCTGTTGTGTGGGATTAAAGTCCGACTTGAACTGTTTTTTCCCCCTATTCACTTCTTGGTTGATTTGGCTGTAGAACTCAGATCACCGTCATGTTGATAAAAAGCCTCTGCACTTCAACCTGAGGCTGGTTCCTGAACAGAGTACACGGCACAGGAAAAGCCCCACAGTATGCTAATGTGACACTGCACTGTGTTGGCTGCAGAGCTGAAATATCTCCTGATATTAATATTCAATTAAGACCAACAAGTTAAACCTTGACATCACAAAACCACAGGGTGTTTTCCCACATAAAGAGTGAAGGTGTTTGGTTTCATATTTACTGCAACATTGGATTTTCTTTTAAGGGTGTGCTTTCACTTTGTCACTTTACAGCCCAGGAAAGTAGAAGTGTAAAAAGCATTTTGAAAAATGTTAACTACAGGATACCACACATGCATGCTGTGGCAAAATACAACCTTGTGTTTGCTTTGGAGCTTTTGGGAGCTTGTCTGATGAGCTAACTCTTCACACTATCATTTCTCTTTGAGAAACACACTGATAAGGTCACACTGCAGCTAAATTTAAACACTTCTTGATTACAGTCATTGCTATATATTTATGATCTTTCAAATCTTCTTCTGGCCTCCTAACGCCTGTAAATCTTTCAACAGTAAAACTTTTGAAGGCATGGGTATGCTGTTTGTTTTCAAAGCAATGCGTGAGATAAACCTGTGGGTAAATCTGTTGCTGTTGTTGTCATCTTAGAGCTTTAAGTTTGAGCAATTTATTTAAGATAATTACAAGTTAAGGTAAGTTGGATTTCTGCTCGCTTTCGATTGTGATATAAAGAATTGCAACACATTTATGACCCCCAATTATAAAAGGTTATTACACTTATATACATTAGGTATTTTCAGTTTTAATTTCTTTTATGTTTGTCTGAGCTATAATGAAAGTCTGGCTTGTTTATGGCTTCAAAGCTGTAAAACCTAAAAGATATGAAAGCATGTGTAGACACAGTAACCTACATTACCAGTGGACATGATGACAAGATTTGATTTGTTCTGCTGACTCCAGCAATACTTCAGATAACAGACTGTACTCCCAGGAAACCTAACCATGCAGAGAGGAGGAGGAACCGTACAAGCAGAAGGGAGTCATTGAAGTTACAAAGTCACATTTCCTCTGAAAGGGTGTTTCATTTTTGTTGGGGGGGGGGCACTCGAGTTAAGTTGCAAATAGACTATAAACCCATATTAAATCGCAACTTAACTACATAACAGCAACATGAGCCTCAACTACACATTAGGCCTACAACTCATGTACAATAGGTGTTGCTCCGCTTAAAGAAAATAAAGCACTTGTTATAACGGTCTTTCGAGTTTGCTGACCATAAACTCCATTTCCCGAAATGCGTGGGTAGTGGAGGTTGCAGCAACAGTGGTCGTCCAACCAGCCGGCGGACTCCGGCTGTAAAGCCATGAGACCGCCGTTTCGTTAAGTCAGGGTGATTCAGCAATAACCCGTTTGCTCAGCTCCGCTAAGACTGCCAGTCTGTCCAAACCCCGGAAAACCATCTGTGACCACGTCTTTCTGTTTTTGTCCAAACGGCACAGGATATCCACGTTTGTACTTTACTATAAATATCACTTTAGAGGACATAGTACTTTTTAAGTAAAGTGGACGCAACAAGTGAACGTAGCACTGCCAAACACAAGCTACGACTACCAGAGTTTATGAAGTTAGACAGCCTAATATCTATTCTATTCAATACCAAATGACTAAATAACAAACACCTAACGCACCATTTCTGGAAACTGTATTTATTCACCTAACTACATCCAGAATCCACCCTTGTCCTTATAGGGAGAGGAGCTGGCCAGCTTGGGGGAAAGGCGCTGCTGCTATAGTAAACAGCCATCACGAGTGCCCTCGACATCCATTTTAGTAGGACTTTAAATAATCCATTTAAATTGTTTTAAAGCATATAGTTAAATAAGGAAGTGTGAACAACCTCGGACTGTCAAATGTTACGGATATAGAGGCTTAAATATGAAGAGCGGGGCCAAATTATCCGCATCATCTCAAACATGCTAGTAATGTTAACTGTTAGCACCTAGCATCAACGGTTTCTAGCGAGCTAAAGGAGATTAAAACAAACAGCTGCCTGCTCACTTGTCCTTGGTTGGTTGGCAAGTCCCCGGCGGATACCAGTCCTTCAGTTCTCGGCTGTGCTAAATTAAGTCTAGCTAAACATTTTATTGATAATATTATGAAACAAAACGATCATTTACCTGCTGGGTCGAAGCGACTCTGGCGACAAAATGTCAGTCCGCCTTTTCCCGGAATTACTCCGCTGCTCTCTGAGGTTGGATTCTTTCATTCATAAAAAACACAAGCGACAATGACGTCAGGCCTAAAGAATGAGGGCGGAGCCAACCCCGCCCCCGCGGCGTACTCCGGGAGGATGTAAACAAGGAATCCCTGCATCCCAGAATTTTTCCATGACCAGACCCCCCTTCACTGTTCCCAGCAACAACAACTTCTCTGGAAAAATGAAAGCACAGACAGAAGCCACCCTTTACTGACACTGTTTAGCATTTGGAGCTAAAAATAAAAAATTACCAACAAATAACTAAAGCTAAAACCCTCACTCTACAAAGACACACTCACAGTTTACACTAGTGTCATACTTGGTAAAAAATAAAAATTATAGCAGAATCTATTTCACTGCTGGCAAACTGTATTTGAATGGACTTGACATTGACCCATAGGGGAAAATATTTTTTATTTTTTTTATTTATTATTTATTATATATATTTTTTTATTTTTGCTATATTTCTCAGCTGTCACCCAGCTCCCTTTGGTGGCAAAACAGTGGACAATTTTGTCATGTCAAGCACTCGAAAATAAAATATATAACAATATAGCTGAAAGGTAATAACCTTCACAAAGTTTATGTACTTTGCTTATTTAGGTCTACTAGCAATGTTTTGGTTTTCTGTAAGTCCTTCATAAGTGTATTAACTATGTATTAGTGATCCAACAATGCCAATTTAGTGTTCTAACAATACACAGATGTTTTACTGATGCTTAATTAATGATATAATAATGTATATTCACACTGTTGTGATTAATTAGTGCTCTATACAAGTCACAGTTTTAAAAGAATGCAGTATAACTTTAACTTTAAAAGAGCTGTTCGAATCTATGGTCAGCAAAATGTTTATTTATTTATCTTTTAATAACTATTAGGGACGCCATGGACTCAATTCTAGGTAAAACGTATATATATTACATTAGTATTTTAGCCAGTTAATATCATTATTTTTGACACTGTAGACTGCTATTAGACAGTCCCTACTACAGGGGGCGCATTTTATTTTTGGGGAAGTACAAACTGACCCCTGCCCTGTCCCGTCATCCGACCTGACAAGCATCACGTTTTCTGCCTGTGACCTCAGACTGTCGTTAGCCGGATGCACGTCTCTCGGCATTAGCTTTATTGAAAGCCGACTGGAAGTAATCAGAAATACACTAAACTGTCTGTCGCCTTTTTCTAGCGACTTGTTCGCCGCGCACGCAGCTGATCCAACCCGACAGACAGCAGCGGGCTAGCAGGAGACATGGCCACAATCGAGGAGCTTTCCCCCGCTGCGGGCCCGGTGGTTACCCGGCCCCCCGAGGACGAGATTGACGACGATGAAGATGAAGATGTAAGTATCTAGACATTTAGAGCTACTTCGCAAATGTGAATGAAAATCAGATTAAGCCTAGAGTTGCACTCTCTTGTGTCTAGTTTGTCCTTTTCTTGGATAACACGGCTAGCTAATGTGGCTGCACCAAGGCTAACTAGCTAGCTACCTGAGGTGTCTCTTCTGGCTTTTACAACCCCTGTCTGAGAAGGTGGTCTGTTGCAAGCATACAAAGTTGTTAAGCAGCTATAAGTATTGCTCCATATAACTAGCAGTTCATTTCATTAATATGTTACTATTTTGAATTGTATGACAGTATTAAGATAATCATAAATAATGTTAACACAAGTCAAATCAACCTGCAGCAAACCAGGATAGACAAACTTTATTTAGCAAGTTGATAAATGAATTTGAGTTTATTTGTTCTTATTCATGAAAGACATTGCTTGATTTCCTCCTTACAGTCTTTTTGTAGTAAAGCTTCGTGTCTGTTGTTTGTATTTGCCTCCCTCAGCTGGATGAGACACTGATGGAGAGGTTGTGGGGCCTGACAGAGATGTTTCCTGATACAGTAAGGACAGCTGCTGAGGTGTCTGCACAGTGCTCCGTCTCACTGATCAAGAAGTTTTACAGGTATCTCTCCCAAGCGCTTTCCTCCTACCTTACCAGTGCATTAATTTATGTAGGCTTTCAGGGTATCTTAGGTGATCAAGAGATGAACTGCAAATCCTTAGATTAAATCTCACTAACAGCAATATTAAAGATAAAGAAAGAAATGGAAATCACTATGTTCACACCAGGGAGTGACATATCCTAACACAGCTGAAGCTAATGAGTTTGTTAACTTGTTTCAGTTTTTCCCGCTCTGCGCTCTGGGTGGGTACTACCTCCTTCATGATCCTGGTGCTGCCTGTGGTGTTTGAGACAGAAAGGCTACAGCTGGAGCAGCAGCAGTTACAGCAGCAGAGACAGGTGAGTGTTAATGTGCATGAGTGTAAAGAAATAGCAGAGAGAAAGTCAGGAGGCATTCCAGGTGAACTGTGATGTACTTCATCAGAAGTGTGATTGCACTCTGATTTATTTGGTGAAACAACAACAGGTTTTGGGAAGCAAGTACTGAGAAGTATGGACAGAAATTGTGAATTATAATGAAAAATGCACTGCATATGTCAAGTCAACAACCTCTTTTCTTTCCAGATCCTATTGGGGCCCAACACTGGAATGTCTGGTGGGATGCCGGGCATGATGCCTCCTGCACCTGGCAAGATGTGAGGGACAGGAAGAGCCGACATGAGCCTGAGATCTGCTGCTAGCGATACAGCGGGGTCGCTCACAAGGAGAGACAGAGAGACCATGGAGAAGAGCAAAGAACTGCAGTGATTAAAAAGAAAAAAAAAAAAAAAGCAAAGCTGTGTACGAACGGCGCAAAATTAGGCTCAATCCAAGTAATGGGTTGGCTGATGGGATCAGAGGAGGAGGATGTGAAGCGTGTCTACCACTTCTCCCTCACTGTCTCTCCTTACTCCAACATCTTGCAGAGACTGATTTTCCAGGAGCACTGCTCCCACTTTCTTTTTTCTATTTTAAATAAACACTTATATCAGCATAAATAATGTGTTCTGTAGAAGAAAGCAGGTACAGGTGGATAAACTGAAAGAAAAAAAATCTAGAGGTTACCAATTGTATGTCTCGGTGTTCACAGTCTGAAGAACGTTAATAGACTTTTGTTGGCAGTTCTGTCCATTATCATGTGCTTACTGGTTCCACTTGTACGTGGAGAATTGGGTTTAATAATATATCTGACAGACAGGTGTGATGAGTGGTGACAAGTGGAGCATATTGTAGACAATATTATTTGACAGGAATGTGGTCTACAGAATGGCCTTTTGAAATTCTACGTGCTAAATGACGCTTTTTTTCTATGTGGTGCGGTTATGACTGTTCATTTGTCACAATTCACCATTGTGCTATGTATTTATGTCAAAGTGCAATGCCTCTCATTTCAAACTAGTCACAGTTAATGGTTAATGGTTTATCATATTTCACTGGACTTCATCAATGGATTGTATAATGCAACAGCACCAGATGTCATGACATTCAATAATTCAAAGATTGTTGTGTTCTTTCCTGTCTACAGTATGTGAAATACAAAATTATTTTGTCATTTGAGACAGTCAACCTCAAATGTGGTTGATAAAGGTTTAATGCCAAAAGTCTCAATATTAACTAGAGATAGAGAATGTTATGTTCTTTTCTCTGTTGCCATCCACCTGACAATTTTCAGTCTGTTACCTCTGTTCAGTAAGCAAACCGCTGTCTCTATTTTGTCTTCAACATGACTGTGGTAATTAAAACACCAAATCAAATGAATAGCCCTTATGTTTTTCTTTCAGCATGTTGGTTGTGTGTTTGCTTAGATATGAAGTTATTCAACAGACAAGTTGACTTATAATAGCAAGAAAAGCACAGGTTCAACTAATAACGTCAATGATTATGATTACCTGAGAGCTGGAGCCCAGCACCTAAATGTAATGCAGCATTAATTAATGTTTCTTACACCTTTGCTTTTCCTGGCTGAAGTGTCAACATGTCTGTGGTGAAAAAGCCTGTTACTGTACTTATGATGTTAAAGTTGTTATTGTGTCGTTTATACAGTTATGCCCGGCCCCAAAAATTATATAATACATAAGAAAAATAGAAAATATATAATATCTGTCGACGTTATTTTAAATGCCAGTGTCCAATGTTGCCTTCACTGCTATTTTTCACCTGGAGTTTGTACCGGTAACATGTTGCCTTTGGCTTAAAGCAGAAACTAATTGGTATTTTTTGAAAAGTCAAACTCGCTATAAATCACTTTATGGAATTGTATGTATTCCTTAAGGTCACCAAGTACCGCCTCTGGTTCAAAGTACCAAGTATTAACAAGTGGGTAAAATCATGTGGGTTAGATAGCCTATGTTTATGTTCATTCAACTTGCAAACTTCTAATTTCCGGTTGCACGTGAACACGTCTAGAGTCAGAAATTCCCGCCAGTTGCGGCAAGAAAGTCACTTCAAGAACAAAAGAGCTGCTAGCTTTTTTAACTTAAAAGGGTATTCTTTCTTCTGCCAGTAACTTAATGTTATCGTTGTGTACTAGTTCACATGAACGAACAAGTTAATTTGTAAACTTCAATACAGACAGTTTTATTTATTTTGTGCGCTGTTGAAAGGCAACAGAACTACGTGCTAGCAGCTAATTTAACTAGCTTAGAAAGGTTAGCTAATTGTAATGACCTTGGCTAAATATCCTTGCTAATTGACAGTAACTGAATATAATAATACATTTCATCTTCAGCCTTTGACCCATACTACACTGAAAATGAAATCTGCAGGAGATCAGGTTGTTGAAGATGATACTGGCTTCAATGATGAGGAGGTGAGCTATAGCTAGCTAATCTTTTTTTTTTGTTTTGTTTTTTCTTTTTTAAATTTAACTCATATTTGCTATCTAACAATGGCTTTCCACAGCTATAACACGTTCAAAGAAGTTGCTGTTAGTGTTGACACTGTAAAGAAATGGTGTCACAGCCCAATATTAAAAAAAAAAAAAAAATTACAAGTAAGTTACACTATAACCACTGTGTCAAGTAAAAGCTGTATTCTTGTCTTCATTAATCAGGTTTACTCCTCAGCAGCTAAGTCACTTAAATTTCTTTTTTCTCTGAACAGGAGTCCTTCTTCCAAGACATTGACCTCCTACAGAAACATGGGATTGTGAGTAAACAGCAGGCCTGAAACATACTCATCAGATCAAAAATCACCTGTCAGAGAGTGTGTTTATGTGTACATTAGTATCCTGATTTTGAGTCTTATCCAATCTTTGATTAAGTCAAGTCAAGTCTATTTTTATTTGTATAGCACCAATTCACAACATAAGTTGTCTGAAGGCGCTTTCCAAATAGAGCAGGTCTAGAACTTCTCTTTATAATGTTATTTACAGAGACCCAACAATTCCCACCAAGAGTAGCACTAGGCGACAGGGGCAAGGAAAAACTTCCTTTTTAGAGGCAGAAACCTCGAGCAGAACCGGACTCAGAGTGGGCGGTCATTTGCCTCGACTGGTCGGGTTGGGAGAGATAGAGAGAGAGAGAGAGATCGTGAGAGAGAGCGAGAAAGGGCGTGCAAGCAGGAGATAAGAGAGAGAGTAAGAGAGAGGGCAGAGGGAAAGAACAAGAACATGCAATGATAGCAATATTAATAACAGTGATAGTAGCGGCAGTAATAGTAATGTAATGGCAACTGTAGTGCTCCTACTGATAAAAGTAATAATGAAAGCTAATAACATTAATGATAAGTATTAGTAGTAAATAAGTATTATTAATTATAGTAATATTTAGCAGGTTAAGCAGCAGGTGTTAAACAGGATCATGAGGGCAGTAGGTGGTTTGCAGTTGCAGATCCAGACTATACAGCTCTGGGGGTGGGAGGACCAGCAGAGACTAACAGGAAGGAGATAGCGAAGGAAAAGGGAGAGAGAGAGGCACACAGCCTGGGCGCTCATGTGCTTGAGGGAAAGAACGCTTAGAATGATGCAGTGATTTTCATTCTTTTATTACTTTCGGGATATGGTGTTTACATGGAACATGAAAAACCTGGTTATTCGTATCCCTGTATTGATGATCATAACAGTATCCAGGTTTTTGATTGTCTGCCTGCAGGTGTGTCTTGATTTCTTACATCTCAGCCACTATGAGATGGTTCAGAAACCTGGATAAGGTGTTTACATGCCATAGTATCCTGGTTTCTTTCGGAGAAATCCAGGTAGTATATCCAGATTTCTCAAAACCTGGAAAAGGACGTATTAAGGTTTCTGAAACCAGGATTATCTGTTTACATGCGTGAAACATAACCAGCATACTGCAAAAACCCAATCATAACTAGGATATTAATACACTCTATGTGAGCATCTCTCTTTCCTTCCCTGCCTGTGACCACAGAATGTGGCAGACATCAAAAAGCTGAAGTCTGTGGGTATCTGCACTGTGAAGGGGATCCAGATGACTACGCGCAAGGCTCTGTGCAACATCAAGGGCCTGTCAGAAGCGAAAGTGGAAAAAATCAAAGAAGCTGCAGGGAAAATGCTGGTAAAATGGAACTTTCCTCTGTGAATTCTTCAGTGTGTACTGAACTCCTTCTGGCCTAGTACTGGACTAGCAGAGAAATAAGATTAACCAAATACCCTACAGAACATTTAATATGTCACGTAATTCTCTTTAAACTGTAGAACGTTGGTTTCCAGACGGCCTTTGAGTACAGTGCGAAGAGGAAGCAGGTGTTCCACATCACGACTGGGAGCCAGGAATTTGAGTTAAGATTTTTTTTCTTAATGTTGAGAACATGTAGACTGTAGGATTAACACTACTCAACATCATACAGCAGTTTGTATTGTGTGTGTATGTATGAGATGGGAGTTTAGCTGTTTTAATATTATGATATATCTTGAACATATCTCATCGTGGTCTGAAAGGCCGCATTATAGATAACTGAATTTTCTTAATCTGCTACATGTCTTTAGCAAAGTGAAATTAACAATGAATACCTCAATTTGCGCGGATGTTTAATCCACGTTACGAATTATGTTTTTGTTTTCTCAGAGCATGGATAGTGATATCAAAAATATTGTCACAAGTTCAGTTTTACTGTAACATCTATTTGCGAGTTGAATAGTGAAGCGATCAGCAAACATTGAGATTTGGCTGGGTGGATAAAAATGAGTTAGTTTCTTATTGTGAATGTGTGTAAATAATCCTAGGTCATAGCACACCTGTTACAACATATCTCTTTTATCTTTGCAGTAAACTTTTGGGTGGAGGTGTCGAGAGTATGGCAATCACCGAAGCATTTGGAGGTGAGAAGTTGTCTTTTTATAATTAAATATATTGTGTATGATTAGACTGATATAATATCACTCAGTTTGCAGTATTTAGCTCTTAACTCCTTACTTTGTTTCATGTTACAGAGTTCCGTACAGGAAAAACCCAGCTGTCTCACACACTTTGTGGTGAGTAAGAAGCCGTTTTTTAAGATGTCTGCTCCAAAGTGGTTTATAAAACAGTACTGTACAAATCAAATAAATTGCATTAAACAGACTCTGTGGTGTCTTTTTCCAGTTGCTGCTCAGCTGCCAGGCGAGGACGGCTACGCAGGCGGGAAAGTCATTTTCATTGACACAGAGAACACCTTGTATCCTCACAATAATGGGAACAACCATACCACAATTGAGGTGCATTGTGCATGAGGCTTTAACTGCAAATTAACTTGATCTTAGACAAACCAATACATTATTTATGAATATATATTTCTGGGTCCAGTGAGAACGACTTTAGAAAACGTGTAAATGAGAGAAATTTCTTTAGTACGTATCAGAATGCACCTGTACCATCACTACTCTGTTTTTAAATCTGTTACTCTATCTGACATTATCCTTGACCTGTAACTGCCTGGTTTGAGTCGTCCAGACAGACTGAGAGACATCGCTGACAGGTTTAATGTGGACCACGATGCTGTGCTGGACAATGTGCTATACGCCCGGGCCTATACCAGTGCGAACACACAGTACACATTGAGACTACAACACAACGCTTGTGTTGTGCGAAAGCAGAGCAGTTTGTATTGCCACACTTAATCTCCTGGTGAGGTTTTCTGCATTAAACTTGTCTCTGCTCGCTCTATCTACAGGTGAACACCAGATGGAGCTGTTGGACTTTGTTGCAGCCAAATTCCATGAGGAGGGAGGAGTGTTCAAACTGTTGGTGAGTTTTAAAAAAACACTCTACAAACATGTTGTGACATACTCATCATTTCTTTGGTTTTACTTCTTCCTCTGCCTGAGTCATTCTCTCCACATGTTGGAGATTTAGACTGAACAATTTTTGTTCAGTTTTCAAGGAAATGTAAGAGTTAAACATCAGGCATAAGTTCTAAAAGAAGGAATCCTTCCCTGCTTTCAGCCTTTGAGTCTGCCTTCTTGTCTGCTCCTCCCTGTTGCCAGATCATCGACTCCATCATGGCTCTGTTCAGAGTAGACTTCTCTGGTCGGGGGGAGCTGGCTGAGCGGCAGCAGAAACTGGCCCAGATGCTCTCCAGACTGCAGAAGATCTCTGAAGGTCTGAACCACGAGAGTGCTGCATATATGTAAAAACCACAAACACCAATCACTCATCTATATATGAAGAGAATGTCTGCAAGGTGCATGCATCGTGGTCTTATATCTTATATAGGTGGTCACAGTATAAAAGTAGTGTTCCCTATAATTACCTTTATTTTAGGATGCTACCCAGGCACGAGATATCTTAATGGCTTTCATTTATGTTTACTTCAGAGTACAATGTAGCCGTGTTCATCACCAACCAAATGACTGCTGATCCTGGAGCAGGAATGACGTAAGAGATGGCAAATTCACTCAATCTCTTCTAAATAAGCTTCTTAATAACATATTTTGTGCTACAAATATGCTATAACATTTGGAGCAACATTATTTGAAGATTTGATGAGAGTATTTTGTTTCTTCCCTGTGTAAGGTTTCAAGCTGATCCCAAGAAGCCAATTGGTGGGCACATCCTGGCTCACGCCTCCACCACACGGATCAGTTTGAGGAAGGGACGTGGAGAGATGAGAATTGCCAAAATATTTGACAGGTAATGACATGATTAAGTGGAATTTTAGTTTGTGAAAATTGTTGTTTTGTCTAAATTCAAGGAAGGTTGGGTTTGTCACTCTTTTTAATTGCTGTAATTTATAGTTTTGATAATATTTTATCATTATAATTTTTTTCAATGCAGTTAATCACAATCATTTATTGTTTAAATTAATAACAAAGCAATTAAACCCTTAATTTTTTTATATATATTTATATTTTTAAATATAATGTCAGCTGCAGCCACAGTTTTACTTTCTGTTGCCATGTAGTCATTGACATGTGATTTTCTACACCAAAATAGATATTGTGATATCAGAACAAGGTCTTTTGCTTAGCATGGTTTTTTTTTTTCATTTTAATTCATTCAGGTTTGTTGACTGCTCTGCTTATTTATCTCTTTGTGATTTCCTCTAGTCCCGACATGCCTGAGAATGAGGCCACTTTTGCCATCTCTGCTGGAGGAGTTACTGATGCCAAAGAGTGAAAGAGGAGGGAGGAGACACAGGTGTTAGCACAGTTCCCTGTTGCCGTCACTTTAAAGTTATGTAACGTATTTGCAATGAATTTATTTATTGAATTTTAAAACTTTATATATTTTTTCAGTTACATTGCCAATCTTGTACTTTGATGCTATGGTTTTTTATTCTATTTATAGCCTTTGTTGTATTTTCTGTGTTTCAGAAATGTTAATATTAATATAAACAAAAATAATAAGAAAACAGTTTGTTATGTTTTTTTTTAATAGTTTTAAGGTTATTTTTTAATAGTCTACCCGCAGATACAAGCTGAAATGTAAAGGTAGGTAGTTACTGTAACATTACAGCGGAGGTCCGGTGCTGGCCTCTAGCGGTGTTTGCAGGACGTGCAGTGGCTGAACACCACTTCTCGTCCGCTACGGGTTCCATATGCTTGCTAGAGCAAGGCTTTAACAAAGCAATGGGGACTCCACCAAACGTGCTGCTAAGAGTCTAAAACACACCAGCAACTAAACGCGTTTTAACGGAACAGAAGAAATCATCCGCCTTTCTCGGCAGTGGAAAGCTTGTCAACTCAGGAGAAAGGAGCGATGGACCCGAGAGATACAGCCCCGGATTCGTGGGAGCTGGAGGAGGATGCCGAGGCCCCGGCTGCCGCGGCGGGGCTCCCTACCGCCTTCGCCGCCCTCAACGTCAACGCCAAGCCGTTTGTCCCCAACGTCAACGCCCCGGTGTTTGTACCGAGCTTCCTTCAAACCAGCGCTGCGGAAATGCCGGCTTCAGACGGTAGGTTAACGCCAGACAGCTGGCTGGAAGTTAGCTTAACTTGCTAGCTTGCTTGCTAATCCAGCTAAGTCAGCCTTCCTGTCTGCAACTCGCTGTGCTGAGTCCAGCCAGTGCCACAGTTATCGCATTTCCACTAACTAATCAACAAGTCGCCTCGAGTGCTAGTCATGTGTTGTAATAGTGCAATGGCTTATTTATTACGCAGTAACAGTCACAACAAAACGTAAAGCGTGTCCACCCCTATCTAATCAATATTTATGAAAGTTTTGACATGCTTTGTTTTTCTCTCCTCTAAGGTGCCCCTGATCCAGTTGCCAGCATGGAGGTAGCAGAAACAGCCGGTATGCATCCACAGTGCACTCCAGGCACTGCATGGCCAGGTTATTAAATGACAAACCTGGCTGTCAGGCAGGTTTTTACCACATGACACTGTGGTTCTAGGCTCAGGTGTGCAAATTTAACTGCAGCCAGAGTTGAAATCTAAGACCCTACCTCATACAGACAAGGAAAGCTTGCATGTCACTTTTGAATCTCTACTTGTGGTGTAACTTACTGGACCGTATTTAGATTGCTGGCATAGGTAAACCCGTGTGCATGGGCCTACGTATAATATGATGCAACCTCACTTGTCCATGCCCGAAATAGACATACCATTGGCACACGCTGTGATATGTGTCAAGAACTGCATGTCCAAGGCCCTGGCCTGCCGTGTGTTAGAGCAATTTGAATGTATTTGGTTACTGCAGAAAAATACAGTCATTTGCCTGTGTCGGGTTCATTCACAATTTTGGCCTGGCCTGGAATGCTGTGCGCCTCTACTCAGCTTACAAAGATTTGGTGGTGTTTTTGTTTTTTAGCGGAGAGGCTGAGCACTGTAGTTGTAGCAGAGAGAGACAAAACAAAATGATCAGATGTAGCATAGAAAAAGATTTCCTTTTTACATTTCTGGCATACATGTGATGTTTGCTGTATTACACACCCCTTCCAATTTTTCTGAACATGTCTAAAACAAAATTTATAATTCCAGCATGTAACAAAGTCGAGGCATAAATGGCTTTTTGAGTTGCCAGTAGCAGTTTCTCACAGGCTGATTATAAACGACTAGGCATGAGAAGAAAATAGGCATTGTACATGACTGCTGGGCTGCATAATTTCTTAGTTACGAAAATTGGAGGCTTATTTGTGTGTGTTGCCATGGGAAGATGCGTCTCCTGCAAGGCTCAGCAGATTTCAGTGTGCTCTTGTTACTGTTTTTGAGTTGTAGTCATTTGCTCGGCAGAACATTATGGACAGGCCTAGGAGAAGTGAAGTGAAGCCTTGCGGCTCTTTTTAGATTATTTGTAAGGGTAAATTAATTTTATGAACATGTGCTATTATATGACATATATTACATATGTAGACTCAAGGCACAGCTGCGGAAGTAGTTGGTGCACCTGGAAATCAAACACCACGGTCATTATGTTTGCAGCTATGCTAAGACACAATCAACTGTTGACCTTTTGGTTGGAAACCACAGAGGGATGAGCAGCTGTTGAGACATAAAAAACATTTCTGTTCATCTGACAGATTTGATTTTTAAATTACAATTTATTTCTTGTAAACTGTAAAAATCACAATGTTAGACATTAGTTTTCTTGAGCATAGCAGCGGAAATTCTCTGCAGAATGCTCCCTCTAACCAAGATACAATTACAATAGAGTGAAATGACATGTCTAGACCTGCATAATATGCAATAATTACCTATAATAACACACAAAGAAACATCATTTCTAAGATAAAGGATGTGAATGATAATGCTGCAGGAGGTGCAAATGAATGAGGTGACTTTATTCAGTGCAATTCTGTGTTGGAATTGTTCCTGTACGTGTTTGAAATGTGCATGAGAGGATCTCATTCCAAATTTTTGTGCAAATGTGTTGAAGTGGTTTAAGTGTGGCAGAAAGATAAAACTGGCAGAAACTGGGCTTGAATAAAGTCCAGGATGTAGAATCAGTCAACACTCACTCATGGTCTGTCTGCAAGTTTTCATTCCAGCCAAAAACTATGTTATGTTCCTCCACTCTCCAAGCTGCGAGTCGTCTGTGGCGTCCAGACGTTACGGAGAAATAACAGATCTGTAGGTGTAGTAAATGTGTATGGTTCCAGCTCCGGTGGAGAACGGAGGCACGGAGGCAGACATGACCACAGAGGAAGAGACGTGGGAGCAGAAGGAGGAGCCCGGAGGAGGCGGAGGAGGTGGAGGACAGGAGGAAGTCGGGGGAGGAGGAGCATGTGAAGAAGGGGCCGCGAGGAAGGAGGATGAGGAGATGATGGAGGAGGAAGAGGAGGAGATGCCTGTACCCAAAGTTGCTCCGGCACCGCCAGACGCCCCCAAGAAAGAACACGTGAACGTGGTCTTCATCGGTCACGTGGGTGCGTCTCGTGTGTATGTGTGGATACTATTTTCTCTCTTATAGAAAGTCTGATTCATCTTAAAAGATTTTCTCTTGTTTTTATGTGCCAGATGCCGGAAAATCAACTATCGGAGGACAGATCATGTGCGTAATCCATTTTTTATGTCTTGTTGGCCCGATCACGGTGTTTAGGGGCTCCACAATGAATAAGGAATGTCTAAGGGCTGAATTAAGTACTTAAATTTCTTTTAAATGTGGTATTTTGTGCCATTAAATTAGCCCACTGTATAGAACTCAGACCCAGAAAATGAAAAACAAAAATTGAGAGCTTATTGTTGGCAGAAAACCATATTATGCGCTCTGGATTGCATAATCTTTCACAGTTGTAGCATTCAGAAAAGCGTGAGCTACACTGCAACAAGTCGCCTTTTGCACAACATTATTGTTCAGTTTAAGCTTCGGTTTCGCTCTAAGGCCACAGATAAAATGAATATAGCGTCACTTGCGTGGACGTCTCACTTTTTTTGTGTGTTCTTCTTGCTAGGTACTTAACTGGAATGGTGGACAAGCGAACCCTGGAAAAATATGAAAGAGAAGCGAAAGAAAAGAACAGGGAGACATGGTGAGGAAGGCCTGTGTTGTTTCTAAATTAATTGCTCTCCACAACAACTGGTGACTGCTGTGTTTCCTTTTATGCAGCTGGATTTCATTTTTGTTTGATGTTCTTTTTGTCTGAAAACAACATGCCTTTAAGTTTCTTTTTTTTTTTTAATAAAGTTTTATTTTGTTCATCTTTAATAATGTGAAGGAATTTCACAACACAGTTTTTTAAACATGTTGATAACGGCTCCAGAAGCTCTAAATTTGACCTACAATATTTAACTATTACTGTGAATTTAGATGAGAATTATTGAAGCCAATATAGAAAAGGTTGGTCGTGATTACAATAAATTTGTTTGCCACACCTGCACAGAAATTTCAAGTCCTCATAATACAGTTTTGTAAAACATAATAAATAACCACGTTTGTTACAGGTACCTGTCGTGGGCTCTGGACACGAACCAGGAGGAGAGAGACAAGGGGAAGACAGTGGAGGTTGGCAGAGCTTACTTTGAGACTGAGAAGAAACATTTCACCATCCTTGATGCCCCCGGACACAAGAGCTTTGTCCCCAACATGATTGGTGGAGCGTCACAAGCTGACCTGGCAGTCCTGGTGAGATGGACATGGACACAGAGCCAACCGTAACTAACTGCTAACTAGGCTTAAACCTCCGACACACAGATTAAATCCCCTACTGACATAGAGATTCTTGTGTGTCAAACAGTTTTGTGTATAATACAAGAAAAAAGTATAAACAAACCATTCTTATTGTATGTTTTATAAATAAACTCTTAGGATTTATTTAAAGAAGACATCGCTTCTCCTAAATGTTTATCACTAAACGGAGGAACTACCTGTGCCCTGCCTCATTGTTTTGTATCAGGTGATTTCTGCCAGAAAGGGGGAGTTCGAGACCGGTTTTGAGAAGGGTGGACAGACACGGGAACACGCCATGCTGGCTAAAACAGCAGGAGTCAAGCATCTCATTGTCCTGATTAACAAGATGGATGACCCCACTGTCAACTGGAGCCTAGAAAGGTGAACAGGGTCCGGATAAAAACAGTTTTGTATTTATGTTTGCTTTAACACTGTGTCAGTGGCCGTCCTGCGTTTGCCACTACAATAGTCAAATTTAAAGATAATGGCAGATCAGTGTTGATATTGTTTATCTGCGACTTCATCAGTGATGTTATTCATTCGTTTTAATGTCGTCTTTTTGTTGACTT